AAGTAACAAGTACCATGATGACCTTCAAACCGTCCGGGCAGTCCGTCCCTATCACTCCTAAATCAAAGAGGGTGAAAAGCTACAACGGACAGTATTTTATCAGTTGAATATTTGTTGTTTTGTATCTCATCGTCAAAACCATATCATAGTTTCTAAATTTGAAAGACTAATATTTGTAGGTTTCTATACGTAACCCGTTCTTAAAATAGCAGCTGAATATTTTGATATGAAAACACACTATGAATATATAGCATGTATTTTGGAACGACGTCGTCAGTATCGGAAGCTTGTTATAACTTTACAAAATTTTAAATAACATCAGTATTTTTATACTTATATAACGACAGAGTGCTTAACATGATCTTAGACCTCTTTACTATGACAAATACCTTGGTCATAAGGATGCAGAGGATAGTCGTTTACAAGACTTCTAAATGACAGGCATCTGATTACGATGGCAATGAAACAGAAAACATAGAAAAATGCCATGTAGGTGTACATTCTGACTAGGCATACATGTATTTTAATTTTACTTGACAACAACTATTTTACAAAGAAAATGTTCAATGCTCATAGAAATAAAATTAAAAAATCAAATCCTGCAAAAACAGTAATAGCTTTAAATGAAAGAATGCAAACATTCAGTTAAACGTACATATTAAGCACTAGCAGAATGTTTAAGCCTTTATGATCCATTGGCGGTGTTAACCTGTGTATACCAACAGTTAAATCAGGTCAACAGCTTGATTGAGTAATTGAATCTAGTTCTTTAGATATCAAAATTCTTTAGATTAACAATAAAAAAAATCAAAATTTCCAAGCAGGAATAGTCCATTTTACAAATAAAAGGGGTGAAACAATGGACATACCTTGGACATGCAAAATTGCCAGAGAAATGAACAATAAAACCATTTTGTCAATTGTTGAAAGTAGTAACATAATTGTGCTCTTCCTATTTAGTGCCCTTATCTAACTGAAGGTCAACAGGGGTTCAGATTATTGAAGCAATATTGCATACAAGTTTGCTTAATTTGTGTAATGGATTTTCCATTATTTAAATTTGGAACAGTCCAATAAAGGAGAGCCTCGCTCTTCTTTTTTTGGTCTTGGCTGATATTTTTTGTAATATCAGACACTGGCATGGTATTCTCTATATAATTGTATGCTTGCTTTGTATACAATTTTGTTTTATATTGAGAACTTTTATATCAACATTGTTTTACATGTTTTCCCCGTCATTTATTAGTTGTTTGTTGTATCTTATACTAAATACTATCAACATAATTATTTACCGTATTTATAAACCTTCCATTATAGACCAATTCACATTAACAAAACTTAAGATCTATTTATTTTTGACACGTACTAAAAAGAGTGAGTAAGATGCATATAAGATATCTGATTGTAACAGCGTTGATTTTATAATATGCAAAAGTCCTGTGATCGTGAATAAGTCAATACGACTCATCCTTTCGTTACAATATTATCACATTTTCCAAATCGATCTAATTGAGACAACCAAGTGCGTGCAATCGATATTTTGTGACCTTGGTTGTTTTTGTTGTGTTAAGTTTAAATATAGATCGTCAGTAACAGGGTCATTTAACTTGTTATCTGTTACGTTAGCATAAAATGGAGACTAATATGTGAACTTATGCATGTTTAGATTTACATGAATAATATTCAAGCTAGTGTAGAATCTAAGATCAAGATCAAGGACATTAATGTTGACAAGATAAGTTTTATATATAGTAACTAGATTAAATATCTTAACTTTTAACTAAAATGCCGTTGTGTTATATATTCACGAATCTTAAAGACTCAGAAATTTCTCCAGACTTGGAAGAAAATCTAGAGGAATGTATCTCAAAATTAATGAATAAACCAAAGGAGGTGAGTATTTGATATATATGTGTGAGTATATATTATAATTACATCTAGTGTAGTAAAAGCGAACTGAAGTGTAATAACTGATTTAAGTGTATAGAAGCTATATATAAAATACTTGTATGAAATAAAAAATGGCAAAAAATGCCTTAAACACTTAAATTAATTTAAAGCGAGTGGCGCATGAACAAAGTCATTGATATTCGGATAAAACTCTTGTTAAAATAGCAAAATAATATTTTGTTCCGGATCATTTTATTCTGTTTAATACGTACAGTATTCATGTGTGTTAAATAACAGAGACATTCTACGTAACAACTTTTTTCGAGAATCAACCATATGATATGGCACCAATATAATTATACTGTTGGTAAATTTTATAAAAAAATATTTCATAAGATATAGATTTATACCCTTTAAAACAGACATAACATTCAGAAACGAAAGTTATTCTATCAACGGGGGTGGTTGACTTATACTTGATTATGTTGTCTATCCTTCAATAAAATGATCATTTATCGGCTTGAGGCCACTTTAAAATATGTTGTTGAATTATACAAGGTTGTAAAAAAATAATAAAATGTTGTGACGGTAGCGTTTGTAGTTTTTAACTCCGGATCACGGCAGTAAGCCATATTGAATTTACCAGAGCACAGTCCAGCTGGGTATTGTTGCTGGGCAGGCTGTCAAGCAGTTTACCAGTACTAGTTGCCTGATCTGATAACTTTTGTACATGCCAGAGCCAAGTGCGAATGACCGTAGAAAGGATTTAATGTTCAATCACAACGAAAGTGACCTGCACCGTCCGGAAATCGAACCCGGGTCACCCGATTTATAGTCCAGCGTTTTACCTATTGAGCTAATACACGACTACAGTAAGATTGTTTCATATTTGTACAAATAAATATCTGTTAAGCTATCAAACCTGTCAACAATAATGTCTTCATTCAAGTCAATTATAACCTCGATTTCTTCACAGCCAGGGATTAACGAGGAATTTGACTTTTAAAGTTTCAAACCCTTGATATCCTGCGGATACAGCTGATTAAACCCCCACTCATTGCCTGACATATTCCAGACATTTTGCTATTAGTACAAAACCAACGCATTAACCCGACAGGTCCTTAATTCCCCGCTTCTACCGCCGTTCCCAAAGAATTGGTTAGTCATAGTTCCAAGTTACTGGGAAATTTCAAAATGCTTTTTTAAATATAGTGCAGTTATTTTCGTGTTTCCTATCATAAATGAAATTATTATCTGCACACAAATAAGCTTAAATTCATGGTTATTTATCTTTTAAATCTGTTAATCAGAGTTTATTGTGTAATCTCCTTCCTGGGATTCGAGCTCACAATCATCCATTGGTAAACCTTGGCAGTTACACTATTATTGCATGAAATTTTAAAATGTTTTTTACAGCGGATTACTGTGATGCTGAACACCGGAATACGCATGAGGTTTGGTGGGAAGAAACAATTTGGTATGGTGTGCAATATTCATTCTATAGCCGTATTTGACGAGAAAAGAAATCCAGGATATTTTCCGCAATTATTTGACGTATTGACGTCGGCAACAAAACTTCCAGCAAGCAGGTAAGCTGTCGTGTAAAATAGTAACAGCATTAAATTTTATCACATACCTGTTCCGATTTTGCGACTCCGCAAATATGGTATCTTGCATATACGTATTTTGACGTGGCGTCATTTGCGTTATACATAGTGTAAAGACGCGCTAAATCTTAACGTTGAACTGTTAAGGCGCGTCAGCGACAAATGATTCTTTTGCACTTTAATTTACAGTCTTTATTTTGGGTATGTGATAAATAGAATATTATATCCGTGCAAGTTCATTACTGAATTTATTGAACTCGTTGAATAAAATAATATTTTGCTCAATAAATTCGGTATCTTTTTCAAGGTTGTTGACATAATGACCCTTGGGTCAACCGAGGCCCTGCCCTGCGGGTAATGGGTATTCCTTTTCGGTATAAGTATAGTAAATACTTTAATATCTTATTTTCTAATTTCACAAATGCTAGTGCTCAGATGTGTGGCAAGAAACATCATTACATAGATTTTTACCAGGAATGTTCAAATTATGGCACTGGGGTCAACATTGTCATGTACTTGTAATTAACTTTAAACTTTCAAAAATCTTGTTCCCTCTGTAAACCCAAAGGCTAAAAGCTATGATATTTGGCATAAAACATTGTGTAGTTGACATCTAATTATTGTTCTTGGGTCAAATTTGGCCAAACGGGTGTGTGTGTGTGGGGTGGGGGTCAGGTGTTTTTTCTTTGTGTACATAGTTAACATTTATTAAATCTAACGGTCCGAAGGTTAGTTAGAACGGAATAGTTAAATGACCCCTATAGATTTTTGATTTCAGTCGGTCAAAGGTCAAGCGCCACAGACATCTTGTCAATTCATAACGGCTACACACCCCATCAGTGTAACGTTATGTCCTCATGTGGGTGCTTTGGCGACCAATGCCCCTGAAAATTAATCTATAAAAGCAGATGCGCTTAACATAAATTTTGATGATTCTACCCTTTAGCTTAAGCTTAAAGAAATTGACTATGTTATAATTGGGCATGATTAATACTTCTCTTTCTATGTATAAGAAACATTTTACATGGAGCAGCACAAAATGGAAAGTGACCAACAATGTACGAATGTAGACGAACAGTCACAAACTCACTACTCGGGCTCTTCAACTCCGCAAGAAAGCTTACTAAGTCAACCAAGATGTATTCCATAGGAACGGATTACCTCTATATGCTACTAATTATTAGATTATAGAGCTTTAAGAATGAATTCCTTATAATTAATAATTTTTTAGTAACTATTTTCAACATGTTGCATAGACCAGAAGAAAATAACATTGATATAAGTCACATCATTCTTATATTTAATTGATATATTTTTGGGAATTATTTTCAGCATCACCATAGAATTAACAGACCTTCCTGCTCACATGGCATTAAATGGCGCCGCCCTTTCTTAGCACTATGTGGAAATGAACTTTAGAAGAAATGTTGTCGCTGTATTCAATGAAAAAGACAGTTGTGGTTCGGTTTTCTATTCCATTTTGTTACGTTTAAATGTTGTCTGCGGATAATCGCGAATAATGATAATAATAAAAATGTTGAAATCTAATATGTTCTTTTTATTTTATACTCTTTTTACTTATTGAAGAGTCAAACAAAATCAAGAATTTATCACATTTCATGTTTAAGCTGCTTATTCTCGTCCCGGACAACTTAACATCGGATTAATCCGTGTTCAAGATTAGCTCCCTTTAATAACTATTACATAGCTAGACATACATGTATTTATTCTGCATCATGAGTTATGACCCCTTTCTTAAACGCTAACCGACGAGAGAATAATAGAGCTTTCAAGGTTCGAATCTTGACTGAAACAATGACCAGAGAAAGAGGTACACAGGGCGTATTCCTGCACCTAGTAAGATTCACGTAGCTTTTTAACAGTCATTATGTAAAGACCAAAGAAAATTTTACAATTATGTAAAGCATAACTAATACCAAGCAATATGTTATTGAAGAGTCCGGTTTTAGTTTTTCAAATCAAAAGATACTTCAAAAGAGACGAGTGACTCTTGTCAACAAAGACCAACTTCTCTTTCTTTTTTTTTAGAAAGTTTCACTGTCCATAAATATATTAGATATGCATGTGTGTATGTTTTTTATACATAGGGTAACAATAATTTTCAAACTTCTTATTTATTTTTCTTTTTTTCTTCTAAACTGACCCACGTGGGTAAAGTTAGGAAACTACCATTTTATTCTTTATAAAGAGAAAATTTTGTTCCTTTGACTGCATAGTTTATTCATTTTGAGGACATTTACAAAATAATTAACGAAGAATTCAAAACGAAGAAATGAAAAATTTGCATGTGTCTCCCTATAATTTTATGATTATCTCTTATTAATAGGGTAACAACAATTTTCAAACTTGTAATTTATTTTTCGTTATTTTCTAAATACAACAAAGCAAAATACACTATTTAATATGTTAATACATACATCAGAGTGTTAAACTTTGAGGGAGACTATGATGAAATTAAAAACATTTTATTATACACCAAATAAATAAGTAATTATCCACTATAACTACAATATTTTTCCCCGTAAAAGCTTTGTTCAAAGATTGGTAAGCACATACAATACAAAATCAAAACAGGTACACAGTGGGGCGCCGTTCTGGAAAAACTAAGTTCTTTATCACATAAACAACAACCGTGTAGCCTACTTTATGAAGAAGAAACGAAGAGGGTGGCAATTTGATTAAAGTGTATCGCATATATTCTCAGTAATGCTTCAATCTAATATTCTACTCTAATTTCTTGGTATGAAAGCACACCTTTTCATAATTTTTATTGTCAAATTGGTTTCCGATCCTGATATAAACTTCTTGTATAAAATTTATTTATCCATAGCTATAGCCGTTATGTAAACAGTTGCACTCCGTTCCTGACATACCAAGCCCGGTCACCTCACAGTTCTTGCAGCAGACAGGTATGTTGTTGATATTACCAACCTTCCATACCGGACGTTTGAAACACTCGTAGCATTGCTCCCCTGTCCAGCAATCTCCTTTCAGAGCTAAAAATGTCAAGATAAGATTTATAGAAAAAAACACAAAAACAACAAAAAACAAAACAAAACAACAACAACAACAACAACAACAACAACAAAACAACGCGAAACAGATCTAATAGGTTTTGATTAGATAGTTTGCTTATATCGTTAGTAACGTTGTAACGTTGGTTTTCCTCAGGCTCTCTCTTGACTTGTAATTTATTTATATACACAGCGGCAGCAAATTTAAAATTAATTAACTGACTGACTGATTGGCTGAGGTAGATGGATATAATTAAGCTTTTTCTATAATATCTACTTTTTTATTTCCTCAGCCAAAATATCAATACAATAAGCAAAGGGTTAAGCTTACACATGGCATTACTAAATTTATAGAACACTTGGTAGGTAATTGGTAACCAGTCATTTAAACTTATACATTGTTACAAACAGACACTTTGCTAAATACAAACAGATTGCATCATTAATTTTTTGTTACTGTACTCGACAATGACCTACACATCTACAATCACGCCTGGTGCCATCGAGAGATTGAAAAATTACTTCAAAGTAACAGGGACAATCAGCTCCCCACATTGTTGTACATACAAGCATACAAGAAGATTGATGATTTAATACAAGAACTTACGACAAGTCTTTCTATATGTTATAATTTGTGGAGTAAGTGCTGAGATGTTGACACCAGGATAGCTGTATGGTCCACATACTGAAAATAAACAATGTACATAAAAGAGAACAATACAATTATTCATGTGATTGGCGTAAAGTTTATACGATTGATTTCCCTGTTAGTTGTATCCGATTGCGTCTTCGGTATCCGTTGGCGATTGGTATGAATTGGAACCCCAGTTTCATGTGTCCGATTCATGCATACAGTCGTTTATCTGATGAACCGATCATATTCTGTTTTAAATGGATATCAATTTGATTTGTGTGGTGTAGTAAACAAAGACATAAATAAACAAGAGGCAGGACGTGAAGTGGTTCAACACTTGGTTCAAGCGAGCGAAATGGTTACAAACTTGAAAAATAGCGTGTTACTTCATAAAAAATGTCTAAATCACATTTACCAGGAGACCGGAAATTAAAAATATAAATTTAATGCGCAGTTTTGTACTGTTAACTACCGTCGCAGCACAAAATTGGCTTACATGCAATATGGTAGCAAGTTTGTCATTCTCGAAGTAAACACTTTCCTCAAACTATTGAAATACAGTTCAAATTATAATGTCTTACCAGCTTTCTTCTCATGAGATGATGATGAGTCTGAAAAATAAGTTAGAAAATAAGATTAAGAGGCGTGATATAAATATCAAGAATAAGTGGTTGATAATCTGCCTTTAAATAAAAGGGCGGACAACTCTTGGTCCCTTTCTCGTAAGAAGGGGAATCCTGTGATACGTGTATGTGGTCGCACAGTCACTTTCCTTAAAACATGTCCTCGATGCATATATGTGGTCGCATGGTCGAAAATCTCTAAAGGGGCGCTATTTAAATCTGAAGAGTGCGTAGATGCTGGTTTTATTTTTATGTAAAGATAAAATATAATTTGCTTTTATCTCTAAAGTTGATAATGGCTATAACCTATGCTACGGGAATATAAGCAAGCATTTTTGCATAAATGACTGCTAAATTGTATTGGTTTCACAGAATTTTTAAGGATAAATAGAGCAGTGTAAATCCTATGACTAGTTCGCATTGAGTCGTTATTCAATATTGCCTTGAGATAATGCCCAGACAAAATACACAGTTATATATGACATGCCTTTAACCTAAAAACTGTTTGTGTTTCTGTAGCAGACTTACCAGTGGTCGAAAATAACTTAGGAGCACTTCAGTGGATAGTTTCTGGGAAATTGAGTAGAACCACCGATCTTTTGTTACCTATGATTAAGAAATTCAACAGTGGCGTGGTTTAAATCCGACAGCGATAAGATGCAAGGCGCATGCTGAAATTTTATTCAGATTCCCTACTCATTTAGACCCACACCCTTCTCTTTTAAAGATTTTTTTACAGATTATATGGCTGTTGTTTGGAAATAGTGGCTCGGGCTACTAGTTTATTGCATACAAATGTTTATTTACGGTCATATAACCTGTAAGGAATGTTTATGACGAATTTATAATACAGCAAACGTCCTTATTTAGAGAAAAGAGAGAAGATTTCTTTATAAAGTGTCAGCAGCCGTGTATATTATTAGTTATAAAGATCGTTGACATGTTATATGGCCCTATATAAACGGCTATTTGTAAATATAACCCGAGCCGTTAGGCCGTTAACGAATTTATAATACAGCAAGCATCATTTTTAGAGCAAAAAGTAAGATTTCTTCATGAATCGACAGCAGCCGTGTATATAAAACTTTATAATACTGCACGTTTGTAACGTCGCTTTTCATTGGATAATCGTGACGTTTATATTATTAGATATAAAGATTTTTGACAGGTTATATGGCCCTCTATAAACGGTTGTTTGTAAATATAACCCGAGCCGCTAGGCGAGGGTTATATTACAAACAACCGTTTATATACGGCCATATAACCTCTCACAAATATTTATAACGAATTTATAATACAGCAAGTATCATTTTTAGAGGAATAAAGCGAGATTTCTTTATAAACTACAGCAGCCGTGTATATAAAACTATATAAACGTCACGATTATCCAATGAAAAATGACGTTACAAACGTGCAGTATTATAATAAACTATTTAAACGCCACTATTATCCAACGAAAAAGCGTATGTGAGAAGTTAGCAGTGAACAGTGAGCTAAGCAAAAAGGCATTTCAATTTATATAGGGAAGGTAATGATCTGCTGTAATGCTCAGCTGTTTTGGGCATCTAGCAGGGCATTCCTTAATATAGTGTAAAACTGCTCTGCTGCAGTACTCAGCTGTCTTGGCAATCTAGCAGAGCATTCCTACCTTTAGTGAAAAAATGCTCTACTGGAACGCTCAGCTGGCTAGGCAATCTAGCAGTGCATTACTAAATATAGTGTTAAAATGCTCTGCTGGAATGCTCAGCTGGCTAGCTAAGCTGGCTAGGCAATCTAGCAGGGCATTACTACATATAGTGAGAAAATGTTCTGCTTGAATGCTAAGCTGGCTAGGCAATCTAGCAGGGCATTTCTAAATATAGTGTAAAAATGCTCTGGTGGAATGCTAAGCTGCTAGGCAATCTAGCAGAGCATTATGAAATATAGTGTAAAAGTGCTCTGCTGGAATGCTAAGCTGGCTAGGCAATCTAGCAGGACATTACTTAATATCGTGTAAAAATGCTCTGCTGGAATGCTAAGCTGGCTAGGCAATTTAGCAGGGCATTCCTTAATATAGTGAAAAAATGCTCTGCTGGAATGCTAAGCTGGCTAGGCAATCTAGCAGAGCATTACTAAATATAGTGTAAAAATGCTCTGCTGGAATGCTAAGCTGGGTAGGCAATCTAGCAGGACATTACTAAATACAGTGTAAAAATGCTCTGCTGGAATGCTAAGCTGGCTAGGCAATCTAGCAGAGCATTACTAAATATAGTAGTGAACAAATGCTTTTCTGGAATGCTAAGCTGGCTGGGCAATCATCTAGCAGGGCATTACTAAATATAGTGTAAAAATGCTCTGCTCGAATGCTAAACTGGCTAGGCAATCTAGCAGGGCATATCTAAATATAGTGTAAAAATGCTCTGGTGGAATGCTAAGCTGCTAGGCAATTTAGCAGAGCATTATGAAATATAGTGTAAAAGTGCTCTGCTGGAATGCTTAGCTGGCTAGGCAATCTAGCAGGGCATTACTAAATAAAGTGTTAAAATGCTCTGCAGGAATGCTCAGCTGGCTAGGCACTTTAGCAGAGCATTCCTTAATATAGTGAAAAAAATGCTCTGGTGGAATGCTCAGCTGGCTAGGCAATCTAGCAGAGCATTACTAGATATAGTGTAAAAATGCTCTGCTGGAATGCTCAGCTGGCTAGGCACTATAGCAGAGCATTCATTAATATAGTGAAAAAATGCTCTGGTGGAATGCTCAGCTGGCTAGGCAATCTAGCAGGGCATTACTAAATATGGTGTAAAAATGCTCTGGTGGAATGCTAAGCTGGCTAGGCAATCTAGCAGGGCATTCCGAAATATAGTTAAAAAATGCTCTGGTAGAATGCTCAGTTGGCAGACTGATTCTGAGTTCCAGGATTTATTGTTGCCAACGTTTTATTGACATTTTCGACTTCTAGGCAATCTGAGGCACTCGCAGACTTTCAGGAATTTTCGGTGCAAATAGAAATAATGATATTTTTGATTTCTAAGGACCTTTAAGAGACTATTTCATTGTCCTGCGACTTTTTGAAGGACACTCGCAGACTTTCAGGAATTTTGGTGCCAATGCTGATATTGACAATTAAGACTTCTAGGGACCCTCAAGAGTCCATTTTGGTCGTCTGCGACTGATTCTTTAACACTCGCAGACTTTCAGGAATGGTTGGTGCCCATGGAAATAATCATATTTTTGACTTCTAGGGACCTTTAAGAGTCCATTTCATTGGCCTGCAGCGTATTGTTGGACACTCGCAGACTTTCAGGAAAGTTTGGTGCCAATAGAGATAATGTCAATTTTCACTTCTAGGGACCCGCCAGAGTCCATTCTTATGGTCTGCGACTGATTCTGGGACATTCGCAGACTTTCAGGAATCTCTGGTGCCAATGGAGATAATGACATTTTTGACTTCAATCATTACAGAGTTCCATTTCGCTGGTCTGCGACTGATTTTGGGACACTTGCAGACTTTCAGGAATTTTGATGCCAATGGAGATAATGACATTTCTGACTTTTAGGGAACCGCCAGAGTACATTTCTTGGGTCTGCGACTGATTCCTTGAGACTCGCAGACTTTCAGGATGTTTAGTGCCATTGCAGATCATTATTTTTTTACTTTTAAGGCCCCCTTAGTCATAAGCAGAGCATTTTTACCCTAAAATGTCATTATCTGCATTAGCACCAAAAATTCCTGAAAGTCTGCAAATGCCCAATAATCAGTCGCAGACCAACGAAATAGACTCTGGATGGTCAAAAATGTCATTAATTGTAATTATCTCTTTTGGCACCAACAATTCCTGAAAGTCTGTGACTGTCCAAGATTAAATCGCAGACCAAAAAAATGGATCCTGGATGGTCCCTAGAAGTAAAAAATGTCATTATCTGCCTTGACATCAAAAATTCCTGAAAGTCTGTGAGTGCCTCAGAATCAGTCCTAGACCAAAAAAATGGATTCAGAAAGGTCCCAATAAGTCAGAAATATCATTTTCTGCATTGACACCAAAATTCCTGAAAGTCTGCGAGTGACTCAGAATCAGTCGCAGACCAACGAAATAGACTCAGGAGGGTCCTTTTAAAGTAAAAATGTCATTATCTCTATTGGCACCGAAAATTTCTGAAAGTCTGCGAGTGTTCCAGAAACATTCACAGACCAACGAAATGGACTCTGGATGGTCCTAAAAATTCACAAATGTCATTATCTGCATTAACACCAAAAATTCCTGAAAGTCTGCGATCGTCCCAGAATCAGTCGGAGACCAAAGAAATAGGCACTTGAGGGTCCCGTAGAAGCCAAAATGTCATTATCTGCATTGGCACTAAATATTTCAGAAAGTCTACGAGTGACAAATAATCAGTTGCAGACCAACGAAATTTATACTTTATTTAAGAATGCCCTGCTAGTTTGCCTAGACAGCTCAGCATTCCGGCAGAACATTTTTACACTAATTTTCAGAATGCGTTGCTGGATTGCCTAGCCAGCTGAGCATTTTTAACACTATATTTAGGAATGACCTGCTAGAATGCTTAGCTAGCTGAGCATACCAGCAGAGTATTTTTTGCACTATATTTTGGAACGCTCTGCTAGATTGCTTAGCCAGCTGAGCTTGCCAGCAGAACATTTTTACACTATATTTAGGAATGCTCTGCTGGATTGCCTAGCCAGCTGAGCATTTTTAACACTATATTTAGGAATGCCCTTCTAGATTGCCTAGCCAGCTGAGCAATTCAGCAGGGCATTTTTACACTATATTTTGGAATGTCCCGCTAGATTGTTTAGCCAGCTGAGCATAACAGCTAAGCATTTTTACACTATATTTAGGAATGCCCTGCTAGATTGCCTAGCCAGCTGAGCATACCAGCAGATCATGTTTACACTATATTTTGGAATGCCCCGCTAGATTGCTTACCAAGCTGAGCATAACAGCTAAGCATTTTTACACTATATTTTGGAATGTCCCGATAGATTGCTTAGCCTGCTGAGCATAACAGCAGAGCATTTTTACACTATATTTTGGAATGCCCGGCTAGATTGCTTAGCCAGCTCAGCATAACAGCAGAGCATTTTTACACTATATTTTGGAATGCCCCACTAGATTGCTTAGCCAGCTGAGCATAACAGCAGAGCATTTTTACACTATATTTTGGAATGCCCCGCTAGATTGCTTAGCCAGCTTAGCATAACAGCAGAGCATTTTACACTATATTTTGGAATGCCCCGCTAGATTGCTTAGCCAGCTGAGTATAACAGCAGAGTATTTTTTACACTATATTTAGTAATGCCCTGCTAGATTGCCTAGCCAGCTGAGCATACCAGCAGAGCATTTTTACGCTATATTTTGGAACGCCCCGCTAGATTGCCTAGCCAGCTGAGCATACCAGCAGAGCATTTTTACACTATATTTAGTAATGTCCTGCTAGATTGCTTACCCAGCTGAGCATACAAGCAAAGCATTTCTACACTTTTTTTTTTGGAATGCTCTGCTAAATTGCTTACCCAGCTGAGCATAACAGCAGATCATTGATTTCCCTATATAAATCGTAATGCCTTTTTGCTTAGCTCACTGTTAACTGCTAACTTCTCACATATCGAAAAAGCAACGTATCAAACATGCAGTATTATAATATATTAACACATACCGTTTTGATGGTCAATGACGACAAATGGCACAACTACAGCGACAATAGCTATAACTAAAACAGCAACGACCACACCAAGTATTATATACATTCTTTTACTGTTGCTTCTCTGTGGTTTATTTCTCGATTGTGGACTGCTGCGTCTATGTCAAAATAATTAAGCCAATCAGCGTGTGATCATTGTAAATTATGAAACGCAAAAACGCAAATTAAAAATACCCAATCAAGGACACACTATTTACGTCCAGCATTTAAATAAAAATTGGTACCAGGTTACTTATAAAAAACTAATCATGTGGAACAATATTATGATATACCGAATGATTAATTTTGAAAATAGCCAATGGGGTTCTAGCATTGTTTACAAGCATTAATTAATACCCCCACTGTGGTATTTGACATGACGAAACTTGAAATATTTTTCAGAGATTTGTGTACTTATTGATTATGATCTGGACCAATAACTTGTGTGCAAATTTTCAGGTCATTCCCTCACCCGATTGTTCCAGAATATTTGAGCCGTGTCACGACAAAAACAACATAATGGGTTTGCGACCAGCATGGATCCAGACCAGCCTGCGCATCCGCGCAGTCTGGTCTGGATCCATGCTGTTCGCTTACCTACCCTATTACAAGTAGAGAAACTGATAGCGAACAGCATGGATCCTGATCAGACTGCGCGAATGCGCAGGCTGGTCTTGATCCATGCTGGTCGCAAACCCATAATGTTGGTTTTGTCGTGACACGGCCCATTTATTTTCATTGCGCAAAATGAGCCAAAAAAGGATAAGCGTTGCAACGCTTTTCACTAAAATTTAGCTAGGCATCACACAAAATCGATTTTCAATCTAATTCTGCGCGTATTTATGTGTTATCAGTTACAGACTTTTCCATTTAAGTGCCGAACTTGATATTCTTAAGATTTTCAAATTTCATGTTTTTAGGATTTTGGACCGCAGTGGAGTTCTGTTAAAGGCCTCAGAATGGGTTTCTTGCATTATTTTTACATAATTATGATCGTGTTAATAACTTGAACAAAATACAATAATATTATTCTAGCATGTGCGTTCTTACCAATGAGACACGTGAAAAAAAACTTCACGTAGAAAAATATTACATGCATAAAAGCATTCACCTTCACAATTTGAACTTAGGTATTAAAGCAGCATGTCTCCAGATTTATGCTAATTTTCATGAAAATTTTGAAAATGTATCTAAGAGTAAAATATTGTGAAATGAACACAGAAAGTAATTTAAACATTGCAAACGGCACTTACAATCCACGTTAAGTACCAAAGAGAGGTCAAAATATAAATAAATACCTCTTACTGCGTTATCACTTAACGCAGTAGAATTACAGTGATTGATACTGCAAAATCAGTCATTAATCGCACTTAAAATGTAAATAATTAATTAAATATTGAATCTTTTTCCTTTTATTAAGACCTTAATGCATAATGCTAAAGATAGAATTTCTTCATCTGGAAGCGTGCAGCTTTAAAATTAAATGAGCCGTGTCACGACAAAACCAACATAGTGCGTTTGCGATCTCCATGCTGTTCGCTATCAGTTTTTCTACTTGTAATAGGATTGGTAAGCAAACAGCATGGATCCTGATCAGACTGCGCGGATTCGCAGGCTGGTCTGGATCCATGCTGGTCGCAAAGCCATTATGTTGGTTTTGTCATGACACGGCTCAAATAGACTTTTTTTATAAACTTACATTCTGTTTAATATTCAGAGAACAATCGTTTTTAAATATTTTGTTCTAAAAGTTAAAAGTCATTGACCTCGAAGTAAATATGAAATGAACGGATACCTTTGCTCCATTCTAAAGCCGCCATTGTCATTGTCTGGTAGGTCTATGGAATAGGCACGATCTTCATGGGATTTTTGGTTCGAGCCCATTATCTGTCTCGCCTACAAAGTAAATATGAAGAGAAATATCAGGACTTTAATACTTTTTTTAAAGGAGCTCCACTGAGGTCTGACAGGTAATTTGGTGTCCAAAAAAAATGTAAAAGAATTTCCACACAAATCACAATATTATAACTAAAATAACAATAACTTACATATTAACCAACCCTTTAACAACAATTACGCTAGAAAATGCATTTTTCACATTAGCTTTCGATGCAAAAATGAAAGTTGGTTTTCCCAGACATTTACAGAAGTTACCCACAATTCACAGGGTATGACTAAAATTTAATTGAGCCGTGTCACGACAAAACCAACATAGTGTTCACGACAAAACCAACATAAAAGGTCATTTTTTGTGACAACAGAGTTAACGGGGAAAATGTCTATTGATTTTTCTCAACACTCTACCCTATCATGTTTATATAACGAAGAATAGATGTATAAAAGCTATTCAAAGTAGCAATTTTGATGTCTTGAAAAATTAACGCCAGCAAAGCGGACATTTTCTAGACAAAACGGAAATATATTATATACAATTATTTTCTTTGACATTTCAGTTTCAATTTCAATATTTTGAAGAATTGGATGAAGACGAACATAACGCATCGGTGATATTTATACTATAACGAGCACAATTAAATCACATAAATAAATGTTTTTAACGCTATCTATAACGTATTTAAATCAAATACAGTTAATGACTTTCCATCCTGTAAGAAATGATAAATTTAAAAGCATGTTTCATTTGATTTGATTTTCTGTTTTGGGGTGGGATGGGGGTTTACGTCGCACAAAAACCATGTAGGTTATTATTGCGACTCTTCAGCTTTACTGGTGGAGAAAACACGCAGGTGCCCCCCTTTGCAAAATTGTTTCTGGTACAAACGGGCATTTGAGTATGTAATGAGTGACGTTTAGTAAGCTATCTTAATAGGATCGTACATTATCGTTTCACTTACACTATCAAATTACAAATTTTTCTCTGACACAAAATTAAGTGTCGTTCAAAAATAAAAGTCAGATATAAATTTTCAGTAGCACAGACAAAAATTGATTTAAACAGCGACAAGAAACTCAAACATTTAAAGGCATCGAAGCTAATAGCTGCTTTTTTGTGCTTAAACGGGCGGGTGGGCCCTCATTTAGCCTAGAACACCCCCACACACACGCACGCAGGCACGCAGGCACGCACGCACCCATACATACATACATACATACATACAGAATCAGTATTATCATCATCATTATCATCGTCAAAATCATCATCATTTTTATCATCTATTTTAGACATTGAAAGTAAACATCAAACTTGTCAAACATAACAGGTTTTCAGTACAAGTGGCAATGAGTATATTTTATAAGTATGTGAAGTTGGCTTGTACATTGTACATCGTAGTTCAGCTAGTAATTCGCAAATATTTGAATTACTAGCTAGTAGATCGGTATTCAGCGTGTAGTTCGAAACAAACAAACTAAGATACATAATATTTGAATTACTAGCTAGTAGTTGGGTATTCAGCGTGTAGTTCGGACCAAATACACCAGCATACAAAATATTTGAATTACTAGCTAGTAGATGGGTATTCAGCGTGTAGTTCGGACAAGACACACTAACATACACAATATTTGAATAACTAGCTAGTAGACGGGTATTCAGCGTGTAGTTCGGACCAGACACACTAACATACATAATATGATTTTATATTTGAATTATTAGCTAGTAGATCGGTATTCAGCGTGTAGTTCGGAACAAATACACCAGCATATACAATTTTTGAATTACTAGCTAGTAGATCGGTATTCAGCGTGTAGTTCGGACCAGACACACTAACATACACAATATTTGAATTACTAGCTAGTAGATGGGTATTCAGCGTGTAGTTCGGACCAGACACACTAACATACACAATATTTGAATAACTAGCTAGTAGATGGGTATTCAGCGTGTAGTTCGGACCAGACACACTAACATACACAATATTTGAATTACTAGCTAGTAGATGGGTATTCAGCGTGTAGTTCGGACCAGACACACTAACATACACAATATTTGAATTACTAGCTAGTAGATGGGTATTCAGCGTGTAGTTCGGACCAGACACACTAACATACACAATATTTGAATTACTAGCTAGTAGATGGGTATTCAGCGTGTAGTTCGGAACAAATGCACCAGCATACAAAATATTTGAATTACTAGCTAGTAGATCGGTATTCAGCGTGTAGTTCGGAACAAATACACCAGCATACACAATATTTGAATTACTAGCTAGTAGATCGGTATTCAGCGTGTAGTTCGGACCAGACACACTAACATACATAATATTTGAATTACTAGCTAGTAGATCGGTATTCAGCGTGTAGTTCGAAACAAACAAGCTAACATACACAATATTTGAATTTTGGTAGTTCGGACCAAATACATAAGCGGTTTTTTTTTGCAAAATCGTTTAATAAAACACTTTTAGCTTAGAAAATCTTATTTTTCCAAGTCATGCGCTCTACTGCCAGATTGCTTGAAATTATGCAACACAAAAACCCGGAAACACTTAGGGCAGTTCAAAACATTACATCGCTTATAAAACATAACAAAACTAAATTTGAAATTTAGGTTCTGGATCCTGGGTCCCGACGGTCTGCAAATATAATCGCGAACATTTTGGCGCATGTGCAGTAAACTATAATTGTAAGACTGGTTTGTAAATATTTCTCTGAAAAAAAGATTATTACATGTTCTTAAAAAAGCTAACCAGTCTATTTCCCAACAGCATTTAAACACAATACCGCGTAGTCGTCTGATGACATCTCCAATAGTTCGAGAAGACACAATTTGTAGGGAATGTAACATTAATGCGGTTGATAATCACTTTTTGATATGTTCTTAATATAGAGATTAACGTACTCAATATATTCCTAGATACTATGATAATTGGCCCAAATTGACAACATTCAATTTTCAGATGGCTTGTAATAAAAGTAAATTTTGTGTGATATGGCTATGACTTTTATCGTTAACTGAGGTTAGACGAAGCTAGTCGCATAATTATATTTACTTATTTACATGTATATGTATTATTTTCAATAGTCGTTTTTTTATATATATACTTTTCTGCATATGCTTTTGATTATGTTCACTTGCATGCCATGTCAATATGTTCAAATAAGTATTTTGAGTAAAGTTATGTTCAGTAATAATATGATATGAAAATAAAAACTGTTGTCTTGGCTTAAATAACATTCGAACATTCGAACTAGCTAGTAATTCAAATAATTATAATGTATGCTGGCGTATTTGTTCCGAACTACAAGCTGAATACCCAAGTACTAGCTAGTAATTCAAATATTATGAATGTAAGTGTGCTTGTTCCGAACTACACGTTGAATACCGATCTACTAGCTAGTAAATCAAATATTATGTATGGCGGTGTATTTTGTCCGAACTACACGCTGAATATCCAAATACTAGCTAGTAATTCAAATATTGTGTATGCTGGTGTATTTGGTCCGAACTACACGCTGAATACCCAACTATTAGCTAGTAATTCAAATATTATGTATGCAAGTTTGTTTGTTTCGAATTACGCGCTGAATACCGATCTACTAGCTAGTAATTCAAATATTGTGTATGCCAGTGTATTTGGTATGAACTACAAGCTGAATACCCATCTACTGGCTAGTAATTCAAATATTGTGTATGATGGTGTATTTGGTTCGAACTACACGCTGAATACCCAACTACTAGCTAGTAATTCAAATAATATGTATGGTAGTTTGTTTGTTTCGAATTACACGCTGAATACCCATCTACTAGCTAGTAATTCAAATATTGTGTATGCTAGTAGGTTTGTTCCGAACTACACGCTGAATACCCATCTACTAGCTAGTAATTCAAATATTATGTATGTTAGTGTGTCTGGTCCGAACTACACGCTGAATACCGATCTACTAGCTAGTAATTCAAATATTGTGTATGCCGGTGTATTTGGTATGAACTACACGCTAAATACCCAACTACTAGCTAGTAATTCAAATATTATGTATGTTAGTTTGTTTGTTTCGAACTACATGTTGAATACCCATCTACAAGCTAGTAATTCAAATATTGTGTCTGATGGTGTATTTGGTCTGAACTACACGCTAAATACCGATCTACTAGCTAGTAATTCAAATATTGTGTATGCCGGTGTATTTGGTCTGAACTACACGCTGAGTTCCCATCTACTAGCTAGTAATTCAAATATTATGTATGCTAGTGGGTTTGTTCCGAACTACACGCTGAATACCCATCTACTACCTAGTAATTCAAATATTATGTATGTAAGTGTGTCTAGTCCGAACTACACGCTGAATACTGATCTACTAGCTAGTAATTCAAATATTGTGTATGTTAGTTTGTTTGTTTCGAACTACACGCTGAATACCGATCTACTAGCTAGTAATTCAAATATTGTGTATGCTAGTTGGTTTGTACCGAACTACACGCTGAATACCCATCTACTAGCTAGTAATTCAAATATTATGTATGTTAGTGTGTCTGGTCCGAACTACACGCTGAATACCGATCTACTAGCTAGTAATTCAAATATTGTGTATGCCGGTGTATTTGGTATGAACTACACGCTAAATACCCAACTACTAGCTAGTAATTCAAATATTATGTATGTTAGTTTGTTTGTTTCGAACTACACGTTGAATACCCATCTACTAGCTAGTAATTCAAATATTGTGTCTGATGGTGTATTTGGTCTGAACTACACGCTAAATACCAATCTACTAGCTAGTAATTCAAATGTTGTGTATGCCGGTGTATTTGGTCTGAACTACACGCTGAGTTCCCATCTACTAGCTAGTAATTCAAATATTATGTATGCTAGTGGGTTTGTTCCGAACTACTCGCTGAATACCGATCTACTAGCTAGTAATTCAAATATTATGTATGTAAGTGTGTCTAGTCCGAACTACACGCTGAATACCCATCTACTGGCTAGTAATTCAAATATTGTGTATGATGGTGTATTTGGTTCGAACTACACGCTGAATACCCAACTACTAGCTAGTAATTCAAATAATATGTATGGTAGTTTGTTTGTTTCGAACTACACGCTGAATACCCATCTACTAGCTAGTAATTCAAATATTGTGTATGCTAGTTGGTTTGTACCGAACTACACGCTGAATACCCATCTACTAGCTAGTAATTCAAATATTTTGTATGCTGGTGCATTTGGTCCGAACTACACGCTGAATATCCAAATACTAGCTAGTAATTCAAATGTTATGTATGTCAGTGTGTCTGGTTCGAACTACACGCTGAATACCCATCTACTAGCTAGTAATTCAAATATTGTGTACGTTAGTGTGTCTGGTCCGAACTACACGCTGAATACCCATCTACTAGCTAGTAATTCAAATATTGTGTATGTTAGTGTGTCTGGTCCGAACTACACGCTGAATACCCATCTACTAGCTAGTAATTCAAATAGTGTGTATGTTAGTGTGTCTTGTCCGAACTACACGCTGAATACCGATCTACTAGCTAGTAATTCAAATATTTTGTATGCTGGTGCATTTGGTCCGAACTACACGCTGAATATCCAAATACTAGCTAGTAATTCAAATGTTATGTATGTTAGTTTGTTTGTTTCGAACTACACGCAGAATACCGATGTACTAGCTAGTAATTCAAATATTGTGTATGCTGGTGTATTTGTTCCGAACTACACGCTGAATACAGCTAGTAATTCAAATATTGTGTATGCTGGTGTATTTTTGCCGAACTACACGCTGAATACCCAACTACAAGCTAGTTATTCAAATATTATGTATGTTAGTTTGTTTGTTTCGAATTACACGCTGAATACCCATCTACTAGCTAGTAATTCAAATATTATGTATGTTAGTGTGTCTGGTCCGAACTACACGCTAAATACCGATCTACTAGCTAGTCATTCAAATATTGTGTATGATGGTGTATTTTGTCCGAATTACACGCTGAATACCCATCTACTAGCTAGTAATTCAAATATTATGTATGTTAGTGTGTCTGGTCCGAACTACACGCTGAATACCGATCTACTAGCTAGTAATTCAAATATTGTGTATGCCAGTGTATTTGGTATGAACTACACGCTGAATACCCATCTACTAGCTAGTAATTCAAATATTGTGTATGACGGTGTATTTGGTCCGAACTACACGCTGAATACCCATCTACTAGCTTATAATTCAAATATTATGTATGTTAGTGTCTCTGGTCCGAACTACACGCTGAATACCGATCTACTAGCTAGTAATTCAAATATTGTGTATGCTAGTGGGTTTGTTCCGAACTACACGCTGAATACCCATCTACTATCTAGTAACTCAAATAGTGTGTATGTTAGTTTGTTTGTTTCGAACTACACGCTGAATACTGATCTACTAGCTAGTAATTCAAATATTGTGTAAGCTAGTGGGTTTGTTCCGAACTACACGCTGAATACCCATCTACTAGCTAGTAATTCAAATATTATGTATGTTAGTGTGTCTGGTCCGAACTACACGCTGAATACCGATTTTCAAGCCAGTAATTCAAATATTGTGTATGCTAGTGGGTTTGTACCGAACTACACGCTGAATACCCATCTACTAGCTAGTAATTCAAATATTATGTATGTTAGTGTGTCTGGTCCGAACTACACGCTGAATACCGATCTACTAAATAGCTAGTAATTCAAATATTGGTGTATGCTGGTGTATTTGGTCCGAACTAAACGTTGAATACCGATCTACTAGCTAGTAATTCAAATATTATGTATGTTAGTTTGTTTGTTTCGAACTACACGCTGAATATCGATCTACTAGCTAGTAATTCAAATATTGGCGAATTACTAGCTGAACTACGATGTACAATGTACAAGCCAACTTCACATACCTACTTTTATGCAGTTATGTTCAAATTTTATAACATTAAGCTGTACACCATACACTTGTCATTCGTCTTGGGGTTACACCACAATGGACTTGACGCAAACACGATTTTTGCCAATATGTTGAAATTGTATAGCTTAGGATTACAAGGTAAATTATTGAGAAAAATAAGGGACATGTATACAAAAGTTAAATCCTGTGTTAGATCATGTAACGATTATTCCTCTTATTTTGAGTATGCTGTAGGTTTAAGACAAGGGGAGATAATGTCGCCACTACTTTTTTCTCTGTTCGTAGAAGACCTAGAATTATTTTTACAGGATAACATTAGTTCTGGACTTGATATAGAAGAAATTATCTTACTTTTACTATTATTTGCTGATGATATGGTTATATTAGGAAAAATCGCCTCAAGAATTAAACAAATCCATTTAAAATAAATTATATGAATATTGTAAAAGTTGGGGATTAGAAGTAAATATAGATAAAACTTAAATTGTTGTATTTAGGAAAAGAGGAAGTTTATTAGGAAATGAGTTTGGACATATGATGGGTAATGATATTGAAGTAGTGAATGATTTTAATTATCTAGGAACAGTTTTCAATTGCACCGGAAATTTTACTTTAATTCAGGAATACATTGCAGGTAAAGCTTTAAAGGCGATGTTTTGCTTTTAAATTGTAAAAAGTATAGTTTTTAAACCAAAGTTATTATGTCAGCTATTTGTTTTCTTTTTGGGCCCTAAAAAAATTTAAAAATTTTTCTCAAAAATAGGGGAAATTTACAAAATAAAAAAAATTTGAAAAATCCCTTTTAAAAAAATTTGTAAAAATTATATTGCAGTAAAAAAACTGTTATTATAGGAGAGTTAAAAAAGATACCCTTTTGTTAATATCCCGTTATGTACGCAATTATTAAAAAAATTTTTTAAAAGTTCTGCAACGGGCCCAATTTTTTTTTACGCTCAGTTTACCAGCTATCAAAAAATTGAAAAAGGTAGCTAAAACCTGGGAAAAGCCTATTTTTAAAAACTTTTTTTTTACAAAATGGTTTTAAATTGTTTGGGAAAAAACCCCAAACACGATTTTGTATTTAAAAAATTTAAATTCCCAAAATATTTAACAAAGGGATAATTGATTTTAAAATAGGTGGAATGTATCTAAAAGTAAAAAGTTCTGAAAATTGGGAAATTAAAAAATTTTGTTTTAAAAATTTAAATTTTTTTTAAACCGGAAAATTATTTAGTTTATATTGCCCTAATCAAAAGAAACTTAATTTGGGATTAAAATTTCTGCACACAGTTTAAAAATTTAAAAAAACGGGAATATGCAGAAATAAATAAAAAAAAATAAAAAACATGGTAAATTTCCCATTTTTAAAGAGACTTTGAAGATAAATTTAAAAATTTTGTCTTTTTTTAATTGTTTTATGGTTAAAATTTTCAAAAATACTTTATATTAAAAAAAATATTTTTAACCCAGTATTTTACAAATTTATTGCATTGCTCCCAAAATTAATAATAGAAATGGCTATGTAAAATTTAGCATTTTTTTACAAAAAAGGGCAAAGACTTTGAACAAACAGATTTTAAAAAATAATGTTCAATGATAGTTTAAAATTTAGTTTATTAAAAATAAAGTTTAATGATAGCTTAAAATTTAGTTTTGATATTGATTTTTCTTCTTAAATATATTTCCATCGTTTTCACAATGTGATTTTCCAAAATTATTCGCGTCCAAAAATCCATAAATCACTTTTGTACATCATGTAGCCTCGTTTTCATTTTCCGTGTCCAAAATAATCCATATCAAATCACTATTGTACTCAGTGTAGCCTTGTTTTCATTTTTAGAGTGTCAAATACTTATTTTACTCCTATAGGAACTCTGGAACAGGACCGCATATTGCGGCGCATAAATCCGAATCCGTACCGGCTTTACATATTGTTTGTCCGACCTTTGAATATCATTTCATATTATGCGAGCGGGTGGTCTTTAATTATCTTATCTCAATTTAATACAATCTGCTAATTTACGATATTTAACGGGAAAAAATTTTACCAGTTTTAAAAAACAGATTGGGGTTTAATTGATAAAAATTTTTTAGCCCTAAAAATCCCCCTAATTAATTTTAGCTGAAAAAGTTTTTTAAAAAACCCTTACACGAAACGATAAATACCCCAAATCTGCGGGACCTTCTCGATTTTCCCTTTTTTAAATCCAAAATTTAAAAAAAAATTATGTCAAAAAGGGATAAAAAACACATTTTAACTACATTGTTGAAAAAAAAATTTTATTCTAAAATTTGATCACCCTTTACATTTTTAAGCTTGCCCCCACGTCCCCAAAATATAAATTTCCAGTTTTAGAGAGTCCAAAAAAAATTCATGTTGCAAACACAAGGGGTATTTTTAAAACCCCCATACTTTCAAAACTTTAAATTTGTTATAGAAAAAACTTTATTTCGAAAACAAGGTTTTATCAAGTTATTTATTAAGGTCATATCTGAGACTTAAATTCGATTATATTTCTAATATTTTTTAATTATATTAAGCCAAAAAGTGTCAGAAACCGCTGAAATGTTGATTGAGTTTTTCTTTTATTATAATCAGTATAGTATATTCATACTACTCGCTATACATTCTATATTAATGTAACACTGGGTGTGTGCATTTTTATCGCTGTAGAATTCAATTGTAGGTCTGTCTTACGTTAGAACATGAGGAGAGGTTTAAGAAAGTTACCGATTCAGAAATTATAGACGAGACTAAGAAACTAGACTTATTGTGCTTGGAAACATTTTCTTCTGTAAGCAACTGTTCAGTGTTTTTTTAACAAGATGTACGTCAAATATAAATCTTGGTTTTTTTTGCTGATACTTGTACATATATCATATCAGGCGTATCTCAATACCGTGAATAATGATTATTTAATAAGGTACATACTATATAGAATATATAAATATATGTACATACCACACAGAATATTATGTTGAGAAACTCGCCGATGAACTCAACACGGCAAACCGTATATAAATAATGCGTTAAAACTTACAAACAGAAATGAACAGTTGTATATTGACTGACTTTAAATGATCTATCTACGAAACAAATTTACATGTTTTTATATGTAAGATTCAATGAATAAGATTATTGCCGTATTACGAAATATCGATGTTATTTCAAAATCAGTGAAAATTAGCCAACGGTAAAAACAGCTCTCTTAGAATTTCAAAATCCTAAAGAAATTGCTTAAATTCCAAGCAGTAAATAAATAGTTGTTTTAGATAAATATTTGTTTATTCGATTAAAAGTTGGCCCATTTTGAAACATAAAAATCTGACCTACTTTTGCAGCGAATACTCTACGTCATTCTTTGAGAGCGCAAGATAAAACTATTGAATACAAATAAAAATGGACTTTATAAGTCGAGCTGAATTCACAAAAACACATAAAGTTTGTGTCTCCGAAATGATAACATTTTTATTTCTAAAAATCTTAGGTTTTTTGAATTTGCAAAAGTGATACTCATTGGCAATATAGATGAAATTTCTTTGGCTTCTTTTGCTCTTTGGTAATTGGCATAACTAAAATTATTTATTATTTTTTATGAAAGTCACTTTTTTACATTTTCGCTACCTTTATGACATATTACGGTATGTTTTACATGTAAAATGCTCTAAACCATTATTATTTTTATTTAACCTTTGATTGACCTTTCTAAAGAAAAAACAACTTTGAAGCATAATGACCCTTTAAAGCAATGAGCCGTGAGTTTGTCTTACATTTAATTATCTAATAGTGCATACACGTACATTTGTTTTCCCGGAACTTAATTGTTTTAACTTTGAATATAATATGGTTAGGGAGAAGAATTACATATAGAATGATCAAAATATGATAAAGTAGTCTTTCCTTCTTGAACAGAAAATTTGTATATAGAAACCTAGAGGAAAGAAAGAAATAAACGAGATATGAAATTATTGTTTCATGTTATGAATAAGTTAGAAGAATCAGTTTTGGAGATAAAGAATAATTTGAAAGACCATATCTTTGTTACTTTTGCAATGTGAAATGTTTAATATTGTTTAAATTTTAAGTTTTGGGTAAAACTTGAGAAATATGTTTAAACTTTTTTGTATTAATGGGTCAAAACAAACCAAAAAATTCAGGGGTTGATTAAAGGGTATATGTGATAAATGTTCAATTTTAATTTGGGTTTAAACCCCTTGTTTTCCGAAAAAAAAAGGGCGGATAGTGTAAAACCCTTAAACAAGTAAAAAAATTTTTATGACAAATGAAGGGTTTTGCAAAAGGGCAAAAATTTGACTGTTAAAAAATTAGTAGAAACTCATGTTTAAAAAAAGTCGCCTTAAAACATTATAAATTTTTTAAAAAAAATTGTAAAAAAAAAACCTGTGGTTTTAATCTTAAAAATATGTACGAAAAATATTAATGAAAAATGTCTATTATTACAAAAGTAACCATTATAAAAACCCCTCATTTTGTCCGGCAGTGAAAATAAACTCACTAACAATTCCTCCCAATTTTACTCAATTTTACAAAATATTCACGCTATTTCAAAATCCTCATTTAAATTCATCGTAAAACTAAAACTTCACTCAGTGGATAAAAGGTCAACTAATCTATTCGATTTCAGTTCAAAAGCTGCGTCCCTTTAGCAATGTAAACAAACACTAATCTTAGTTATCTATCACGGCAACATAGAAATGTGGAGTGTCCCAAGATGTAACGATTTTAATCCAATATACAGAACGCTTGGAAATTTAAGAACCAATCTACCCGTAACATGCTAAACTTGCCAAATTGATTTGCCTTGTTTGAAATTTGGAACATTGGGTTCGAATATTACGGTGTTTTTTTCTGGTTGGGTTTTGAGTTGCACTAACACAGTAGAAGTCATATGGTGAAGGAAGAGCCCCAGATGCATTCCGAACATTATTCAGTCACGAGTGGGAACTTAAATAGAACCACAGACGGACCGTAAGCTATATTTAAAGCTGTAGCCCTCAGGCAACTTTACTATGAAGGATGCTACTTTAAATATTTCAAGGTTGCAGATCGAAAAAATAAAACACTCGAATTTAGCAGAACTCAGTTGACACCTTCAGAGAAATGCACATATTGGTACAAGTCGTTTAACCCCAATGTGTGCTGTGAAGTTTACTGCACTTAAGCGTTTGACAGCGAAGTGCGGTTTACAGAGCTTCAAAACGAAATTTGACAGTCCAGTATGGACTTTACAAAATGAGATGGTTCTACACTTGTATTGGTTGAAACTGTTCAAAGTGAACGTGTAATTCAAATTAATTCTAGAGAAAAAAAACACAAAAAAAAAAGAAAAAAAGAAACACCCAGGTTTGATACACAAGAATTTATTTATACAGGTTTTAAATACATACTTAAAACGCAAATAAAGTGAAATATTCGTAAGATATAAAAAGAAAAAAAACTTAATCTGGTAAAAAAAGTTATAAACATAGAAAGTTATAAACATGAAACATTGCTTATATCTATAGCACATAAATATCAAACATAATTTAGTCGTGTTTTATTTTACAAACAACTTTAGACAGTGTAAAACCCATACTAGTACGGCTTCTCCCTACAAACTTTAGTGCAAGATCTCTAAATTACCCTCTTGACACACGGGACTAAATGTAATGTATAGAATTTCACCCAGATAAAAAAGGGAAATAAATGTTTAAGATAAAAAAGGCATGGTAAATAAGTTTAAATATACAAGATGATGTTATATTGTATGTAAAAAATGTTAACGCTAAAGTTTAACCTCCTGAATTTGTTACATGAACTTTCCCCGCTTCCATTTTTCGAATTGTTCATTATCAATTTTGAGGATGTTAAGATGAAAATTTGAAATTTGGACTTTCAACAGTTGAGTCTTGTATGATGTTCAGTCAGGAGGGCCTGGCATTCTTACCACTTTCAATTCAAGCAAAGTTAGGGTTACTCTCCGGCGCATCGGTCGATTGTTTCACTGTCGATCACGTTCTTACTGAAGTGTACATGTATTCAGTGAGCTGCGAGGGGAGCGTAGATAAGGGTTCAATCATTCAATCAATCAATCAATCAACCAATCAATCAATCAATCAATCAATCAAACACACAACTAACCAACGAACCAATGAATCAAGCAAGCAATCAACTAATCAATCAATCAATCAATCAATCAATCAATCCACCTACCGAGGCACATTCCTATCTATCTATTATTCAAGTTTGAACGACTGATTATGTCTGGATGTTGTCGGGGTTGCGTGACTGGAATGTCAATCCCTTGCATATTCTAACAATCAAGCATTATGATAAATAAAAGCAAATAATATTCACGGTCGGTTTTAAATTATCTAAAAACATATAACAAAATACAATATAAAACATGAACCGGAGATAACAAAAATAATTTTAGCCATTACTTGTTTATAATCATAACATATTGAAAGAACATATATTGATACATAAACTACTTTATACAATACATAGAGATTAAATTTATCATTTAGAAGAAAATAAAACATCTTAAAACTATAGTAAAACAGCCTAAATTAATAAAAATGTAGTTTTGTGATATTTCCTGATTTAAACAAAGTTCATTGAAAGTAAAGATTACATTGTCTTTTACCATTGAAATGCAGTAATTTTTTAATAAAGAAGCGACACTGTTGGTGATTGGATTCTAATCCGCTTGTATTTAATTCGGTCTAAAGTTAAACGATACTACAAAGGTCATATAATGAGTTCTAGATAAATGTATTGATACAGGAAGACATCATAAACGCATCATGTGTGCATCATGTCAGATATAAGTGGAAACATGAACACAAGTATGGTCCTTCCATATCGTAAGTTAGTTAGAGAGCCTATTCATATGTCTCATGGGCCATTCCAAAAGTCGAGGAGTGTGTTATTCAAGGTCAGTCAGCGACATTCACCACTCGGCAACGGCTGCGTACACTGATTGCTACATAGAGCTTTAACATTCTGAATACCACGATGTAAATTACGGCAACAAACCTTTACGTACGCTCATTATATACTAAATTACACGAGATATTTATATTTACAACATCTAGTTAATAAAAGTTCAAACTGCAAACCTTGCTTAACCCTCAAATTCTGCCAAAATGATTGAGCACTTTACGACATGTAATACATGAAACAATTCAACTGCTGATAAATGATGTATAAGCGATTTACTTCTAGTAATCTAAGTCGGTCTCCCTTGAGCAAATACCGGTTCTTGCCTGCTCCTAGACAGGAGTCTTAAAGGTCCATTATGCCTCAGAAATGCTTCTAATTTTATTTTCAAAAGATTTTTATAATGGTGTATTTTTATAGTATCCAAAAACTTACTCATTGGCCAATAACCTTGCACTATTTTTCATATGTTGCTTTTAGCAATATGTACAGTTATAGTGATTGAGTATTTTGTATGGAAGTAAAATACTACTTGGCTTACATTTTACTTCTTTCATGACAAATTTCATATTTATCACTACACTACTTACTTTCAGTTAGAGAGCATCTAACATTATTTAATACCAAAATTCAAACATAGATAAAATTCATGTAAAGGCCTTTCTAAAGAAGTAAACTAGAAATGTGTCCATGGGACACGGGTTCCCCTACCACGCCACTGTTCTGTCAATCTTATGACTCTAGTTCAAATATTTTTTGAAAACTAAAAATCTTTTACTAAGTAAAGAGCAAGAACTTTACAAATAATGAATAAATCCACAAGCAAACCCCAAGGTGCATAAGTACACATGCTGACCAACATTCTTGTGAACTTTCAAGCCTACAAGTGAAATACTTTTTGAGCTATGCATGAACAAGTTGAAAATTGCAAATTTATACTACTGTAAGTAAAGGGCAATAACTCTAACAAAACTGAAAAAAAAAAATCCACATGCAAAGTCCCAGGTGCATAGCTTCACAGTGATGTGAATCATTAATCCTGTAATTTAGTGATGTTGATCATTATTCCTGTAAAGTTGGTTGATTCTAACTCAAGCACTCAAGGAACAAATAACAACATAATGAAAAGGTTTTTACTAAGTAAAGGGAAATAACTCTTCAAATACTGGATAAATCCACAAGCGAAACCCCAGGTGCACAACTACATATGCTGAGCAACCTTCCTGTAAGGTTTAATGACTCTATATCAAATCCTTTTTGAGTTACATGCGACACAAGTTGAAAATTGCAAAAAAATTCTAAGTCAAGGGCAATAACTCTAAAAATACTAAATAAGTCCACACAAAAATACCCAGGTCCACAACTGCACATGCTGATCAACATTCCTGAGAAGTTTCATGACTCTTTGTCAAATCCTTTTGAGTAACATGCGACACAAGTTGAAAATTGCAAAATTTTACTAAGTCAAGGGCAATAACTCTAAAAATACTAAATAAATCCACACGAGAATACCCAGGTGCACAACTACACATGCTGATCAACATTCCTGAGAAGTTTCATGACTCTAAGTCAAATCCGTTTTGAGTTACATACACACAAGTTGAAAATTGCAAAATTTTACTAAGCCAAGGGCAATAACTCTAAAAATACTAAATAAATCCAGACGAAAACACCCAGGTGCACAACAACACATACTGATCAACATTCCTGAGAAGTTTCATGACTCTAGGTCAAATTCTTTTTGAGTGACATGCGACACAAGTTGAAAATTGCAAAATTTTACTAAGTCAAGGGCAATGACTCTAAAAATACTAAAAAATCCACACGAAAATACACCGGTGCACAACTACACATGCTGATCAACATTTCTGAGAAGTTTCATGACTCTAGGTCAAAATCATGTTTGAGTTACATGCGAGACAAGTTGAAAATTGCAAAATTTTACGAAGTCAAGGGCAATAACTCTTTAAATACTAAAAAAAATACACACGAAAACACACAGGTGCACAACATCACATGCTGATCAACATTCCTGTAAAGTTTCATGACTCTAGGTCAAATACTTTTTGAGTAACATGCGACACAAGTTGAAAATTGCAAATTTTTAATAATCATGGGCAATAACTCTAAAAATACTGAATAAATCCACACGAAAATACCCAGGTGCACAACTGCACATGCTGATCAACATTCCTGTAAAGTTTCATGACTATAGGTCAAATACTTTTTGAGTTACGGACGGACGGACAAGGGTAAATCTAAATGCCCGCCACTAAAGTGGGGGCACATAAAAATGTTTCTGAGGCATAATGTGCCTTTAAATGAATGTATCCATTATCTTAGAATTGGTAACAAAATTTAGATATCAATATTACACACTGTCAAGCCATTTTCTTCAAGTACTTTGTAGAATCTTCATTATCATTTTTTGTTTGTTTTCAAATTGGATTGACACATGCTTGTTTTAAAGAAAATTTGCATGTTTTAACGTCCCGTTCTCCCTTTAACGTCCATTGTACATGCAATTACACTCGTTGTTCAAAACACTCACTCCTCGAACTAAACAATCTGGACAGCACACTGGTATATTGTTGATGTGTCCCACTTTCCAGCTATCAAGTTTAAAACACTCAATACACTTTTCTCCTGACCAGCAGTCACCACCAAAAGCTGAAATATACAATATGTAATAGAAAGAGCATCGACACACGAGGCTATCAAATTTGTACCAGGGGGCGTAGCCCCCCCCCCCCCCCTAGTATTAATCAGATTGCCGAGTGTTTTGATGTTCTTTCTCTTTTGTATCATAGTCAAACATAAAAACACGTTCCCTGTTCTCACAACATGAAACCCCAGGTAAAAGTAACCAATGAACGAGCATCTGAATATGATATTTTTGTCGCTTTTCCTTTCTCTTCCGTCACAATACGTAAACCCCAGCAAAAATGAGCCAATCTATGGGCATCCTTTGGAGTGTGGGTAACTGATACCTGCACTCCAGTTAACGCACTGTATATGTATGTATACGATTTATTCCCAAACTTTGATACAAATAAGTAATAGAAAGAGCATCCAAACATGAGGCTATCGGATTTGTACCAGGGGACGTAATTCAGATTGCAGTGTGTTTTGATGTTCTTTCTCTTTTGTATTATAGGCAAAACAACCTGTTAACACATAATGAAATCCCAGAAAACGGTAACCAATGAACGAGCATCTGGATATGATATTTCTCTCGGTATCCCTTTCTCTGCAGTCACAGACAGTAAACCGCAGAAAAAAAATCCGCCAAACAATGGGTATGCTCTGGAGTGCGGGTAACTACATGTAATACCTGCACTCGAGTTAATGCATTGTGCATGATATATGTATACGATTTATCTTTGACACATTTTCAACAGAACTATGATACAAATCGGCGTTACTTTAGCATATCTAGAATACTGTTTACAAATAATCGCAGATATCAGCTTGGCAAAATTATATGCAAAGTACTAATCATAGTTACCCATAATGGTTTTGAAGAAATAACATTAAGAAGGCTTACTGTATTAAGAGTTTCTTGATATTGTTTTTGCAAACATATTCAAATTTTGTTTTAACACTTACGACATGTGAAACTGTTGTTAGTTCTGGTCGGAGCTAAGTCTGAAAAATTGATCTTGCCAGGCAACTTGAAAGGTCCGCATTCTGAAAAAGATAAACAATAGTTTTACCCAACGGTCATGATTCAAGTATCTTGTACAGGTAGAAACGTTACTTTAAGATAGGTTATGCACTTTTAGAGGAAAACTCTTTCAACAAAGTATTGCTGGAAATAAGTCCATCACATGTCCCAGACGTTTACCCACAGTTACCGTCTATATACATTTACCGTATTATCTAATAACGCAACATAACATATTATTTGTCAGTTAAAATCAATGTGAATGCTGCTGAATTACACTGATATACTGTATGTATATTGTTGCTGTTGGGTGTTTGTAAAACATAAAAATTCGGACATTTGTAAGAGGGGTTACAGTGGTTTGTATTCAGTTACAGGGGTCGCGAGTTCACCCTCCCGTCACCCCCCCCCCCCCCACGATACTCCAGCGAAAATTGCTTGTTGGACTATAAGAACCAAGGTCCAGTGTAGTGATACTTTACACACAGTTGTTTCCACTGGTCTGGAGTAATCTTCTAAAAATAAAATTCCTGAAGTCTTTTGAAATGAGTCGCCCATTTGGCTTTCCGTTGGCGACAGAAAATAAAAGTATACAATTTCAATGACTTTTTTAAGCACGTGCTAAAGAGTGACCAATAGTTGAAGTTACGAAATTTCAATGCCAAAAATCACCGATTGCAAAAATTCAAAAAGTGGATAGCAACTGGAAAGAACCGTTGAAAAACAAATAAAAAATGCCTTACCTTTGCTGTATTTGCTGTGATTGGAATTGTCTGAAAGAGAGAAAAAACAAGGAATATTTATATTAAGCCCCGAGTAAATAGTATTAATTACTTCACACCTTGTAGAATATAACCAATGCACTATCTGCATTTGCATCACTGATGTTCCAATAAAAATCATCATTGGATTTTATCAAGTTATCCTCTTTTTCATTTCCAGAGTCCAAAATGTTCATATCAAATCTACAGAACACCCAATATAGCATCGTTTTCATTTCCAGAGTCAAAACGGTTCATATCAAATCTATATCGCATCCCATGTAATCTCGTTTTCGTTTTTAAGGAGTCCAAAATTCATATCAATACTTTATTGTAATTGAAGTAACAAAGAGTTGTCAAAAACTAGAAGTGTGAAATAAAGACGTAATAAAACATGGTTGAGAACAATACTGATTCTATAGGACTCGAACACACCTGCACAACCTTTATCAGACTCTGTTTGCGAAAACAGTCCAATACAGTTTTGACAGCTATGTACTAGTCCAACAGAATTCAGTATTGTACTCAACAATGTACTCAACAATGCATTATAATCTTGAAGTAACTACTTACCAAGGACTAACATATGGATGTCGTCGGTAAGTGTAAGATATATGATCCGATATAACACACTGTTTGAATTCAGTTACAGGGGTCGCGAGTTCACCCTCCCGTCACCCCTCACGATACTTAAGCGAAAATTGCCTTCAACCTCTCTTGGGCTGGATTATAAGAACCAATGTCAAGTGTAGTGATACTTTACATACAGTTGTTTCCACTGGTCTGGAGTAATCTTCTAAAAATGAATTTACTTAAGTCTTTTGAATGAGTCGCCCATTTGGCTTTCCGTTGGCGACAGTAAATAAAAGTATACAATTTCAATGACTTTTCTTTTAAGCCCGTATAATAGAGTGACCAATGGTTGAAGTTACGGAATGCAAAAAAGAAAACCTCACCGATTGCAACAAAAATTAAAAAAAGGAGAACAACTGGAAAAAACTGTTGAAAAACAAATAAAAAATTGCTTTACCTTTGCTGTAATTGGAATTGTCTGAAAAAGAGAAAAACAACAAATATTTATATTATGCCCCGAGTAAATAGTATAACATGTATTTACTTCACACCTTGTAGAATATAAACAATTGCAGTATCTGCATTTGCATCACGTGATGTTCCAATAAAAATCATTGTAGGGATTTTCACAAGTTATCCTCGTCAAACAGGTTCATTGCACCCCATCTAATCTCGTTTTCGCTTTTTGTGAGTCCAAAAATTCATATCAATCCTTTATTGTTATTGAAGTGACAAAGAGTTTTTGATACAGTTTTTGAAAGCTATGTACTCGTCCAATAAAATTCAGTATTGTACTAAACAATTCATTATTATCTTGAAGTAACTACTTAACAAGGAATAATATATGGATGTCGTTTATAGGTGTAAGACACATCCAATATTACAATTTACAAATCTAAGTATAGCAGATAATGAATTATTCAAGAACAAAAACATATTAATCATGGTATAAAGTGTTCATACTAAGTGTCACTAAGGACACCATCAACATTTTTAAAAAAACAACAAACAAACAAAAAACACTTTTATATGAATATGAAAATGATAAATTTCTATTGCTTTTGTATAAATATGATAATGATAAATTTCTATTGTTTTTATATGAATATGAAAATAATAAATTTCTATTGCTTTTGTATAAATATGATAATGATAAATTTCTATTGTTTTTATATGAATATGAAAATAATAAATTTCTATTGTTTTTCTTTATCAAAATTTGAAACAATTGTAATAAATGTGCCCATTGAAGACAGATTCTCTTTAAAACACAGATACACATAAGAGAGAACATTCCACCATTAGGTTAAAGTCACTTACCTCCGTCATCTTTTTTCTTTTGAGTAACAAGAACAACAACAACAACAACGGCAACGATGACCGCGATTAAAATAGCTACCAGCGCACCAATAATAAGTGCACGTTTTCGAGTCCTCGTTTGTGATGATCCCGATCTCCTAAAAATAAAAATATTTTGCATTTGTAACAAACAAACAAACAAACAGTTTTAATGCCCCATTTTGTCTTAGAAATGCATTAAACTTTATTACTCAAAAAACTTTCCATCTTTGTTACCTTGTCATAGTTTAAAAATACTTCTTGGCCATAAACACATACTATTTTATTTTGCTCTGTTTACAAATGTCATATTTAGTGAATTACTTTTGTATTGAAGTCAAAATACTACTTTTATTACAAATTTACTAACTTTACAACACATCACTGTTCATATGTTCAACAATAGTTTTTCAGTTATTCAAAATCTAACATGGTTTTAATCCATTATTTAGGAAGTATCAAACACACGCTAGGTATTTCTGAAGAATTTAAAAAAAGTGTGCATTTCCGAGGCATAATAATTAAAATGTCTTTCAGATGTAAGAAGCAACATTAAAAATGATTGGATAAATTACGCGTATGCGGGTATATAAAGTTAGCAGTGTTCTCTCTTCGTTGTTTCATAATAATAACTGATTACAATTATTAAATAAACTGAAAACGAATAAATCATATAAGAATTAAATATAGACAGGATGTTTTATACCCTTTAGAATCAACGAATGTAGTTCCCGCGTCAGCATCATATTCCGCATCAGCTTCGGGTTCTTTCATATCTGGTTATAATGTTATGCTGAAAATATAACAACACAGATAACATATACCATTTTCTATATACAATCGTAAATAGACTTGATATTAAGAAATAGTTTTACAAAATAAATTAATACATAGAAACTTATCAAAAGGTTTCTCGTCACGGGTTTTATCAATGTCCTCTGGTTGCTTATATACATTATTGCCCTGAGAAACATGTGTTATTATTTAATTACACCGAACCATAATAAAAACATTACGTATACAGATCGACTTGGGGAGATAACTAGAACAATAAGTTTTCTTAAGACTATACAGATTACTAACCCCTGGGAAATATTGACAGTGATAATTTTTTATCTGATATATTGCCTTCAAGCAGATAAGCAGGTCATTGTACAGACAGCATTATAATAAATCACAAAAAAAACATTTAAAAATATGTTTGCATGCGAAATTCTCCAGTTCGTTATTTATTGTACATATCGCTCATTTTTTGTAATAATCGGAATGATCGGCTATTATCCCTGACAAAAAGGCCCAAGATTTTGCAGTTACCCTTTCACAAAATCTGATTTCATTCCATAAAAGGCGCCGCGCTTCGGCGCGGACGCCAATCATTGATTGAAATAGGACTTTGTACTGGTTTGATTGTGTCAAGTGTATAGAAACGGAATACACTTTTTTTGCATACTAGCGGTTCAGGAAATTTTTAATACATTGTATAATATCATGGCCACACTTTTAAACGTATTAATTTTGTATCATGTAAAGTCAGGGAAAAAAGGAAGCATTATATAATAAAAACATTTAAATTTAGAAAAGGAATCACAGAGGATAATAATATATTCATCACCCTGAAATGAGATTCGCATTTGTTGCACAATTTACCTATCTGAGTGTAACATATAGTTAACATATATACCAATTTATCTAGAAACTAATATACATGTATATACATTAGCATGCGCACGCACATACGCAGAAAAAAACAACATATCTCGACATTTAATTTCACTGTTTAAACAGGTAAAGGGAAGGAACTCAGGAGTTTTTTTTAATTTAAATGAAAATGTATACATGGTCAAGACTGAAGCCAGAGTAAGCCATATTACATCTATATTTATAATCCATATAACCCATCACATTCAACTTCAAAATATAATTGTGTAACATAAGCGAGATAAATATATAGAAAAGCATTTTATTGTTTAATATAAGTCCATAACAATGTTTTAACAAGAATCTACAAACATACAAATAACAGGAGACATTCAATTATGATTATTGACATGTACTTCATATACACGTGGAATTGTGAACTAAATGTACATGTAAACCCAAGTTAGTATATATAAGTGCTAGTTAAAGTGAAACATAATACAACGTGACAATATCTGAAAAGTTTAAACATTGGAACTCTAAAAGCTAAAAATGAATAATTACAAAAATTATGACAGAAGGCATTACTGCACGCAGTGTTCTAGAAGTTACAAACAGTATAAATGCCTAAGACGACATTTCACGGAGGTACATACAAATATACAACGCTACTCATGTGGAATTAACCGATGCCAAAGCACGTTCATGAGAAAGGGATATTTGAAAAACCACTTAATGAATGTACACCATTTCTCTTTGGGTGAAGCAAAGCAGTTTGTGTTGTTTAGTGAGAGGACAAGTGAACTCCTACATGGACACGATTGATAATTTCAACACATAAGTGCTCAAGTCACCTGTGAACAGTAACGTTCAATATAGTGATATATTTATCATCTGATGAGGTGCCACAAAATGACAGCCTTGATTTTGACGATGAACCGGATATCAGTTTTAGTGGTGAGACGTCTGAGATGGATAAAAACAATAATGACGTGAATGGAGTTAAAAACGCCAATACAGATGGCGTCGAGGTCATTAGTGACACTGAGGACTTTGTTGTTAATTATCATAGGGATGATGACGCCAACGTGAATGGCGTCAATACAGAGAGTGAAAATGAGTATGACGCCAACCAAGATGGCGGCAATAGTAAAAATCATTATGATAATGACGCTGGAGATGACGTCAATGAAAGTGATGATTCTAGTGTTACTGATAACGTTCACGTAAAAAATGACGTCAATGATAGCGCAAACGAAAGTGAGCTGGATTACGTTGAAAATGACCAATGCAATGATGATGCCATATACGATCATTTTTATGGACGGATGACGTCGAAGTGATCAACATTACGACCAGCGAAATAGATATATTAAAGCGGCTACGTTTTACACTGACAGACAGCAAAATGTTTATACTGGAAATTATATTACCAAATAAATGACCCGAGTTCAGTGCAAATTTTCAATATATACGTGGTTTAATATTAAAGAAATATGCTTACCTGTATCTATTCCAAGGCGTGGTTCTTATCAGTCGTTATCAGTGGTGGCAGATTCAATCACATGTATTTTAATCACTTTTCTAATTATAGCACCACATAAGGAAAAAACCCAACGAACTTAACAGACAAATTTTTGTGTAAACCAATAAAGATTGCCAATGTATTTGTCTACAGTACGCTTTACGTGTATTCTAATATCAGTCTTTCATGTTGGTTTCGGTCTACAAAAACGCGCAGTGTAGTTTGTTCAATAAATCAGTTTAACTACTTCAATACAACACGCTTAAAAGATACACATCTGCATATCAAACGACTTATACTGTCACGTAACTATTTAATGTTTACCTGTTGAACTATTCCCGTTTATAATATCCGGTAGCTAATAACTGCTTTTCAGTGTTGGAAATTATCAATTGTCAATATTTTCTTTTATCACATTTGAGCATAAATTATGTTAAAACAATAAATTGAAGAAATGCCATGACCTGGGTCATTAAAGCTTGGGTCCTATCAAATTAATATGAGCAAACTTGATGATAAAAGACTACCTAAGAATGCTACGAAGTTTGGTAATCATCTATCAATTATTTCAGTAGGAAATGATGTTCAAAGGTATTTCTATTTTTAGCTTTAGTGGCCCCTTGAAGGGGCCAATCAAATTAATATGACCAAACTTGATAAAAGAGTACATAAGAATGCTACAGGCAAAGTTTGGTGATCATCCATCTATTAGTTCTATAGAAGATGTTTAAAGGTTTTTCTATTTTTAACTTTAGCAGCCCCTAAAAGGGGCCAATCAAATTAATATGAGCAAACTTGATAAAAGACTACCCAAGAATGCTACAGACAAAGTTTGGTGATCATCCATCAATTAGTTCTGTAGAAATAGACGTTTGAAGGTATTTCTATTTTGAGCTTTAGCGGCCTCTAAAAGAGGCTAATCAAATTAATATGAGCAAACTTGATAAAAAAAAACTACACAAAAATGCTACAGACAAAGTTTGGTGATCACCCATCAATGTATTCTCTAGAAAAAGACATTTAAAGGTATTTTATTTTTAGCTTTAGCGGCCCCTAAAAGGGGCCAATCGAATTAATATGCACAAACTTGATAAAAAACTACCCAAGAATGCTACAGACAAAGTTTGGTGATCATCCATGGATTAGTTCTCTAGAAATAGACATTTAAAGGTATTCTATTTTTAGCTTTAGCGGCCACTAAAAGGGGTCAATCGAATTAAAATGCACAAACTTGATAAAAGACTACCCAAGAATGCTACAAAGTTTGTTGATCATCCATCAATTAGTTCTGTAGTAAAAGATGTTTAAATGTTTTTCCATTTTTAGCTTTAGCGGCCCCTAAAAGGGGCCAATCACATTAATATGAGCAAACTTGATAAAAGACTACCAAAGGATGCTACAGACAATGTGATCATCCATCAATTAGTTCTGTAGTAAAAGATGTTTAAAGGTTTTTCTATTTGTAAGCTCTGTTGACCCTTAAAAGGGGCCTGTTGAAATGACATGAGCAAATTCAACTGTGACTGTCACAAGGATGCTACAGACCAAATTTGAAGTAAATCTGCCCAGCAGTTTCAGAGAAGAAGACGATTGTTGACGCATGAGAACGGACGCCTGAGCACCCCGCTTTGATACTTATAGTTCACCCTGAACCTTCGGTTCTGGTGAGCTAAAAAAGAAACACTCAGATTTGATACACAACAATTTATTTATACAGGTTTAAATACATACATAAAATGCAAATAAAGTGCAAAATATATAAAATAAAGAATAACTTTATCTAGTACAGAAGTTATAAACATAGAAAGTTATAAATATTACACATTAGTTTAAATAGATATCAAGCATAATTTAGTCACGTTTTATTTTACAAAATATTTTTGACAGTGTGAAAACCATACGGCTTCTTCCTATTAATTGTGGTGGAAGATATCTAAATCACCCGAGTTTCTCGGGTAGATACACTGTATAAAATTTCACCCATATAACACAGGGAATTAAATGTATAAGATAAAAAATAAAAGGCATGGTAAATAAGTTCAAATCTACAAGATGATGTAATAATGTATGTAAAAAAGTTAACGTTCTTTCCACCGTAAAAGTGAATGAAGGTCGCCTTAACCTCCTGAATTTGTTACATGAACTTTCCCAGCTTCCATTTTTCGAATTGTTCATTATCAATTTTGGGGTTGTTAAGATGAAAATTTGAAGCTGGTTTTTCAACAGTTTAGTCTTGTAAGATGTTCAGTCAGGGGGGCCTGGCATTCTTACCACTTTCAATTCAAGTAGGTGGATGTTACTCTCCTAGGCCTGCGCATCGGTCGATTGTGTCACTTTCGCTCACGTTCTTACTGAAGTGTATTCAGTAAGCTGCGAAAGGGAGCATAGATAAGGATTAAATCAAACAATCAATTAATTAATTAATTAATCAATCAAACAAACAAAGAAACAAACAAACAAACAACCAACGAACCAATCAATCAATCAATCCACATACCGAGACACATTCCTATCTATCTATTATTCAAGTTTGAACGACTGATTATTTCTGGATGTTGTCGGGGTTGCGTGACTGGAATGTCACTCCCGTGCATATTCTAACAATCAAGCACTATGATAAATAAAAGCAAATAATATTCACGGTCGGTTTTAAAGTATCTAAAAAACATATAACAAATACAATATAAAACATGAACCGGAGATAACAAAAATAATTTTAGCCATTACTTGTTTATAATCATAACATCTTAAAAGAATATATATTGATACATAAACTACTTTATACAATACAAAGAGATTAATTTATCATTAAAAAGGACATAAAACATCTTAAAACTATAGTAATAACAGCTTAAATTTGTTGATTAAATGCAGTTTTGTGATATTTTTGTGATTTTTTTTTATATTACATTGAAAGTAAAGATCACATTGAGGGTCAATGTCATTTTACAATTGAAATGCAACTCTTTTTAATACAGAAGCAAGAAAATATAAAGGCACTGTTTGTCAAATTGGATTTTTATCAGTTTGTATTTCATTCGGTTTAAAATCAAACGATACTACAAAGTTCTTGATAATTGTACTGATTCAGGAATACATGAACGCCGTGTACATCATGGACACTTGAACACAAGCATGGTCCTTCCGTAAGCTAGCTCGATAACCTCTTCGCATGAAAGAATGTTAAGCCCCATGGACCATTCCAAAAAGTCGCGAATTGTGTAATTCAAGGTCAGTCTCGGCAACGGCTGCGTACACTGATTGCTACATGGAGCTTTAACATTCTGAATACCACGATGTATTACGGCAACATACTTTCATGTACGCTCATTATATACTTAATTACACGAGATATTTATATTAACAACATCTAGTTAATAAAAGTTCAAACTGCAAACCCTGCTTTACCCTCAAATTCTGCCAAAATGATTGAGCACTTTACGACATGTAATACATGAAACAATTCAACTGCTGATAAATGATGTATAAGCGATTTACTTCTAGTAATCTAAGTCCGTCTCCCTTGAGCAAATACCGATTATTGCCTGCTCCTAGACAGTCTTAAAAGCCCATAATGCCTCAGAAATGCTTTAAATTTTATTTTTCAAAAGATTTTTATAATGGTGTACTTTTATAGTATCAAAAAACTTACTCATTGGCCAATAACCTTGCAATATTTTTCATATGTTGCTTTTAGCAATATGTACAGTTATAGTGATTGAGTATTTTGTATGGAAGTAAAAATACAACTTTGATTACATTTTACTTCTTTCATGACAAATTTCATATTTATCACTACTTATTCGAGTTAAAGAGCATCTAACATTCTCTAAAACCAAAATTAAAACATTATAAAATTCATGTTAGCCCTTTCTTAAGAAGTAAAAAAATGTTTCTGAGGCATAATGTGCCTTAAAATGAATGTATCCATTATCTTAGAATTGATACCAAAATTTAGATATCAATATTACACACTGTCAAGCCATTTTCTTCAAGTACTTTGTAGAATCTTCATTATCATTTTTTGTTTGTTTTCAAATTGGATTTACACATGCTTGTTTTAAAGAAAATTTGCATTTTTAACGTCCTGTGTCTCCCTTAACGTCCATTGTACCTGCAATTACACCCGCTGTTCGAAACACTCAATCCTCGAACTAAACAATCTGGACAGCACACTGGTATGTAGTTGATGTTTCCCACTTTCCATGTATCAAGTTTAAAACACTCAAAACACTTTTCTCCTGACCAGCAGTCACCACCCAAAGCTGAAATATACAATATATAAGTATACGATTTAATAACTCTGACATATTTTCAACAGAACTATGATACAAATCGGCGTTACTTAAGCATATCTAGAATACTGTTTACAAATAATTGCAAATATCAGCTTGGCAAAATTATATGGAAAGTAGTAATAAACAGTGATAAAGTTCTGGGCATCATACATTGTAGTTACCCACAAGGTTGCTCAAAATTTTCCCCTACAATCAATCTATATAAAAATAATGGTTTTGAAGAAATATCATTAAGAGTTTCTCGATATCTTTTAGTAAACATATTTAAATTTTGTTTTAACACTTACGACATGTGTAACTGTTAGAAATTATGGTCGGAGATAAGTCTGAAAAATTGAGCTTGTCAGGCAACTTGAAAGGTCCGCATTCTGAAAAAAAGAAAATCGTTTAACTCAACGGTCATGATTCAAATATTATGAAAAAGATTTAGGTCTTGCACTTTAAGATAGGTCATGCACTTTCAGAGGAAAACTCTCTTGAAACAAAGTATTGTAAGAATAAATCCATCACATGTGCCAGACGTTTACTCACAGTTACCGTCTATATACATTTACCGTATTATCTTATAACGCAACATAACATATTATTTGTAAGTTAAAATCAATGTGAATGCCGCTGAATTACACTGATATACTGTATGTATATTGTTGCTGTTGGGTGTTTGTAGAACATAAAAATTCGGACATTTTGTAAGAGGGGTTACAGTGGTTTAGTGTTAACACACTGTTTGAATTCAATTACAGGGGTCGCGAGTTCACCCTCCCGTCACCCCCCCTCACGATACTCCAGCGAAAATTGCTTCAACCTCTCTTGGGTTAGACTATAAGAAACAAGGTCCAGTGTAGTGATACTTTACACACAGTTGTTTCCACAGATCTGAAGTAATCTTCTAAAAATAAAATTCCTGAAGTCTTTTGAAATGAGTCGCCCATTTGGCTTTCCGTTGGCGACAGAAATTAAAAGTATACAATTTCAATGACTTTTTTAAGCACGTGCTAAAGAGTGACCAATAGTTAAAGTTACGAAATTTCAATGCCAAAAATCACCGATTGCAAAAATTCAAAAAGTGGATAGCAACTGGAAAGAACCGTTGAAAAACAAATAAAAAATGCCTTACCTTTGCTGTATTTGCTGTGATTGGAATTGTCTGAAAGAGAGAAAAAACAAGGAATATTTATATTAAGCCCCGAGTAAATATATATATATAGTATTAATTACTTCACACATCGTAGAATATAACCAATGCACTATCTGCATTTGCATCACTGATGTTCCAATAAAAATCATCATTGGATTTTATCAAGTTATCCTCTTTTTTCATTTCCAGAGTCCAAAATGTTCATATCAAATCCACAGAACACACCATATAGCTTCGTTTTCATTTCCAGAGTCCAAACGGTTCATATCGAATCTTTATCGCATCCAATGTAATCTTGTTTTCGTTTTTAGGGAGTCCAAAATTCATATCAATCCTTTATTGTAATTGAAGTAACAAAGAGTTGTCAAAAACTAGAAGTGTGAAATAAAGCCGATAATGAATTGTTCAAGAACAAAAAAAAAATATTAATCATCGTATAAACTGTTCATACTAAGTGTCACTAAGGACACTATCAACATTTTGTTAAAACAAGAGCTGTCACCAAAGTGACGAATGCTCCCCGAAAAGGGTTTTAAGCATGCAGGTATTATGAAAAGAAAAAGAGAATGAAAGTAACTAATTGCTGAATATTGTTCTTTGTATTTTTGTACCTGTAATCTCTAATTTTGAAAGCAGGAACCTTCAAAATATAAGTGTGACCTTGACCTTTGAAGAAGGGACGTGGTTCCTGGACGCGACAAAATGTTGTTATGAGATAGAAATATGTGCCAAATTATTTCAAAATCCCTCAATGCATGACAAAGTTACAGTCTGGACATGATTGTTGTGTAAGTGGGGAAACACGGACAGACGGACATGAGCCTTAGCCCCGACATATTGTTTGGCTGGGTAGACATTTGCGCCAAAATATTTTAAAATCCTTCCATACATGACAAAGTTATAGTCCGGACATGAATGTGTATCTTCAAACTCTTCTCGAGAGAATGAGTACCTTCAAACTATAAATGCGACCTTGACCTTGAAGGTAGGGACATGGGTCTTTGTCGCGACACATCGTCTTGATGTGGTAGACATTTATGCCTAGTTATTTTAAAATCCTTCGATGCATGACAAAGTGACAGCCCGGACACGAATGTGTGTGCCTATAAACTCTAATTGTGATAAAGTGAAACTTCAAAATGGTAGTGTGGCCTTTAAGTTTAAGGTCACACTACCATTTTGAAGTGATTATTGGACGCGAAACATCGTCTTGATATTGTTGATATTTATGCTAAGTTATTTTAAAATCCTTCCATGCATGACAAAGTTACAGCCCGGACACGATTAATTATAATTGTGATAATGTGAAACTTCAAAATGTTAGTGTGACCTTGACCTTTGAGGTAGGGACGTGGTTCTTGGATGCGACACATCGTCTTGATGTGGTCGACATTTATGCCTAGTTATTTTAAAATCATTCAATGCATGACAAAGTTACAGTCCGGACACTAATGTGTGTACCTATTTACTCTAATTGCGATAATGTGAAACTTCAAAATGATAGTGTGACCTTGACCTTTGAGGTAGGGACGTGGTTCTTGGACGCGACACATCGTCTTGATGTGGTAGACATTTGTGCCAAGTTATTTCAAAATCCCTCAATGTATGACAAAGTTACAGTCCGGACACGAATTAAGTGGGGACGCATAGACGGTGCCATTATAATATGCCCCCTTCGGGGACATAACAAACAAAAACATTTTTATATGAATATGAAATTGATAAATTTCTATTGTTTTTCTTTAACGGTCATTGCGAAGATTCCACCATTAGGTTAAAGTCACTTACCACCGTCATCTTTTTTTTTTTGAGTAACAACAACAACAACAACGACGACGACAACGATGACAGCGATTAAAATAGCCACCACACCAATAATAATTGCACGTTTTCGAGTCCTCGTTTGTGATGATCCCGGTCTCCTAAAAAAACAACAATATTTTGCATTTGTAACAAACAAACAAACAAACAAACAAACAAACAAACAAACAGCGAACAGTGTTTTAAAGTCCCATCATGCCTTAGAAATGCATTAAACTTTATGTCTCAAAAAACTTTTTATCTGTGTTACCTTGTCATAGATTAAAAAATACTTATTGCCCATTAACACCAACTATCTTTTGCTTATTTTGCTCTGTTTACAAATGTCATATTTAGTGAATTACTTTTGTATGGAAGTCAAAATACTAATTTTATTACAAATTTACTAACTTTACAACACATCACTGTATGTTCAACAATAGTTTTTTTAGTTATTCAAAATCTAACATGGTCTTAATTCATTATAAATTTCAAATTTATGCATGAGACAAAAGTCGCTTAATACACGTAGTCGCATTGGCAAGTTAGACTGTATTTAGGAAGTATCAAACACACGCTTGGTATTTCTGAAGAATTTAAAAAAAAATGTTGATTTCCAAGTCAAAATGTGTTTTCAGATGTAAGATGCAGCATTAAAATGATTGGATTAATTACGCTTACGCGGGTATATAAAGTTAGCAGTTTCTTCTTTGTTTCATAATTATAACTGATTACAATTATAAAACAAGTAGAGATTTTGATGCTAAAGCATCAAGTTGCCGGATAGAAAAATGATTGTATTATCATTAATATAAGTTTAATGGTTCAAGGAACAATCAGTTAAGTAATGTTTGCCACTGAGGCTTGCAAGGCAAGTGATATGCTGGTGATTCTTCTTGTAATTGTACTTTATACATATACTGTTGTACCATACATTGAAATCCCTATTTCAGATTCCGATAATTACCGACAAATAATTACCGATCATCGAATATTTGCAAAGTGACCTTGAAAATATATGTCTTTAATTATTGCATGAAACAATCCAATTCTACAGTAAAGTGTTGTACATCATTATTATGCGCTATCGAAAAAATATATAATTTAGTTGAAATCAATACATGTATTCCCATCGTTACATACGATATAATTAACGTTTAATTGCCTTTCAGTGCGATAAACTATCAACACAAAGATAGATTATTATTTTTTCTATGTATCTGATTAATACGATTCCGGACCCCTACCGTCATACCGTTTTGGAAACCTTCACGATGGAAACCGACGGAATATAACAAAATCAACGAATTTCAATAATGTGCCTCTTATGCATAAAATTATTTTGTGATGTTCAACCTCAACTAAACTATTGAACTTTCTTGCAGAAAGTGACAAGTTTAACCCTTTACCAAGAAAAAAGGAAAAGGTTTTGAAAATCTATTCTTATTGTGTAAAATATGAGTATACAGGTTTTTCTAATGATTAAATATGAAACTGATTAATGAAAAATAACTTATGTAATTATCTTTACAAAATTACAATGATTTGCATCTTATCAGCTGCCATGCCTTTTGCCAACCATTAACAAGTTACCTGTATGACTTATCAGCAATCTGTTACTATTAATAGATTTTATAACGATACCATACAACATGTAGTCACGTGATTCTTTCAATAGAACAGGGAGAATTTGTTTATAATTAGATAAAATAATAAAATATAATAGGTCTCATAAAATATATACAACCAAATAATTTAAAAGTGTCATTTCAAATATCATTCATGATTTATATATCATAAATAGCAACGCTTGACACATAGAAAAAAGTAAAAGTATCCCTAATATTCAATGACTGATCCTTAGGGATACATTATAGATTCATTTCATGAAAATTGTTACGTTGATTTTTAAGATGTTAATATGTGTATATTTCATTCCATTGAGCAAAGTTATCATATGTTTGAATTTTTGAGATTACTGAAAAATAATTGTGGTCTTTAATTGTTCAATAATTGATATGCTTTTATTTTCAGATTTTAAGGGCTTCTCCTACCATAGGTATTATATTAAACTGTTACAAATATAGTCGCCTGTTTCTACCGGCGACTAATAAACTGATGTTATACCCTTTAGAATCAACGAATGTAGTTCCCGTGTGAGCATCATATTCCGCATCAGCTTCGGCTCCTTTCATATCTGGTTTTAATGTTATACTGAAAATATAACAACACATATAACATGTACCATTTTCTATATACAATCGTAATTAGACTTGATATATCAATGAAATGGTATAAAACTACATCTTGCGAAATAATTTTACAAAATAAATTAATAAACAGTAAAAAAAATTATCAAACGTTTTCTCGTCACGGGTTTTATCAATGTCCTCTGGTTGCTTATATACATTATTGCCCTGAGAAACATTTGTAATTATTTTATTACACCGAACCATATTAATAAAAAATTTACGTATACAACAACAACATTTTATTTGCATACATTATATACAGAGTGACTAGGGGAGAGAACTATAACAATAAATTTTCTTAAGTCTGTATAAATTACTAGCCCCTGGGGAATATTGATAGAGTGATAATTTTTTTGAGCTGATATATTGCCTTCAAGTAGATAGGCAGATCGTTGAACAGACAACATTATAATTAATCATCATTGATTGAAACAGGACATTGTATTGGTTTGACTGTGTCAAGCGTGTTCAAGTGTGTTCAAGTGTGTAGAAACGGAATACACTTTTTTTGCATACTAGCGGTTCAGGAAATTTTTAATACATTGTATAATATCATGGCCACACTTTTAAACGTATTTGTATCATGTAAAATCAGGAATAATGGGAAGCATTATATAAAAAAGCCATTTAAATTTAGAAAAGGAATTACAGAGGATAATAATATATTTATTACCCTGAAATGAGATTCGCAATTGTTGCACACCTATCTGCGTGTAAATATGGTTAACATATATACCTATTTATCTAGAAACTAATATACATGTACATACAATAGCACGCACACGCACATACGCAGAAAAAACAACATATCTCGACATTAATATTTCACTGTTAAAACAGGTAAAGGGAAGGAACTCTTGAGACTTTTTTCAAATTTAGGCCTTCTCATTGAATGAAAATGTACATGGTCAGTGAGCCATATTAAATCTACATTTTATAATCCATATAATCCATCACATTCAACTCCAAACTGTTGTTGCGTAACATAAGCGAGATAAATATATAGAAATTAACATAAGTCATAACAATGTTCAATAAAAACATAAATAAGAGGAGACATACAATTATAATTGAGCCGCGTCACGACAAAACCAACAATGGGCTTGCGACCAGCATGGATTCAGACTAGCCTGCGCATCCGCGCAATCTGATCAGGATCCATGCTGTTCGCTTACCAACTCTATTACAAGTAGAGAAACTGATAGCGAACAGAATGGATCCTAATCAGACTGCGCGGATGCGCAGGCTGGTCTGGATCCATGCTGGTCGCAGCTATGTTGGATTTGTCGTGACGCGGCTCAATTGTTGACGTGAAATAAATACACAGCTACGTTTTACACAAACAACTCAACTGGAAATTATATAACCATCAAACATGATGAATAAGACCTTTTCTAAAGAATTGAAATATACATGTATATAATCTATTCAATCACGACTGCTCGGCTTTTTCCGTTATAATTCGATTATGTACGAACACGACTAATATGACATAATTCCATGCATAAATAATGACCCGAGTTCAGATATAGAATGCTTGGTATAATATTAAAGAAATGTGCTAACCTGCATGGCTCTTATCACTGGTTATCAGTGGTGGCAGATTTAATCACATGCTATATAATCACTTTTCTAAATATAGCACCACATAAGAAAACACCAACGAACTTAAAAGTCACATACATGATACTGGAAGGTATGTTTTGTGTGAACCAATAAAGATTGTCTGCAGTAAATTACGCTTAGTGCTTGATTAGTTTCATGTCTTTCATGATGGTTTCGGTATAAAGATCTGGCGCACAGTGTAGTCAGTATATACGCATCAACATATCAAAACAAAATAGTTAATGACTTATTACTGTTAGTAAAGTTACGTTACTATTTAATGTTTACCTGTTAAACTATTCCAGTTTATAATATCCGGTAGCTTATAAACTAGGTCACCGAGCCTGCGTAACCTTTATTTGAACGTAACCTTTATTTGAACCACGAAATAAGGAAAAAATACTCTACACACATTAATACGCGTTTGATACTGCTACAGTCATGTAACATGGACGCTAAAGTCGATAATGCTCGGTCTAATTCATAACTGCACTGTTATGTACGTGGTACTGCGTAACTGAGAATTGACGAGTCGCTCTTGGTTTTATATCATATTCAAGACATTAATTAATGTATACAGTATTACAATGTACTTATAAAAGGGTGAAAAAACTATTTTATTGGAGCAGATGTACAACTAATTCGTTGCTGTCAGAGAGTTATTAAAAAAATCAGTCATCATTATTTAGAATAAGCTACTCTGGAAAGGTACATCACACTAAACCAAATTAAAAACACAGGCATTTTGTTCATCTGTCAAGCACATGACAGTCAGGACATGGGCGCTATAAGAATAATACATTTTTTCACGATTATGATAAAAATATGGATATTTTAATAGCAGGCAAAATATGCTAGTATATCGTATTTGTCACGTGACATAAGCGGTATGATATTTATTAACCTGTCAATTCCGGTCAATCAATATTCGATAAATGTTCGGTAAATTCCGTGAGATGTACGCAGTCGGATGTGGTTAAATTACTCTTGTTTACACTGACCGTTATAGCGCAATAGGGTGAACGGTTATATAATATCTAAATGCCTTACGTGTTGTAAGATCGAGACAACGTATGTCCAGTGTTTTTCTTATTCATTTCAACATTTTTGAATTGATGGTTGTTCTTTCTGTTTTTAATATATGTTTTGCAATTTTTTAGCTCGACTATACGAAGTATATGGAGAGCTGTCCTACTCGCCCCGGCGTCGGCGTCGGCGTCCGCGTCCAGATTTCAGATTAAAGTTTTGGTGCAGTTAAATATTTTTCACTATAACTTTGTCATTTCTTAAGGTATCAACTTCAAACTTCAAATATATCATCAACCACATCTTATGTGACAAGGTTCATAACTCTAGCACCAATATATTTTCAGATTTATCTCCCCTTGAACTTAGAATTTTCCTTAAAAAATACTATTTTTACTGTAACTTCTTTATTTCTTAAGGGATCACCCTCATACTTCAAATAAATGTACCTTATCATCATCCCCATCTTATGTGACAAGGTTCATAACTCTAGCACCAATATTTTTAAGATTTATCTCCCCTTGAACTTAGAATTTTCCTTAAAAAACAATATTTTTTACTGTTACTTCTTTATTTCTTAAGGGATCACCCTCATACTTCAAATATATGTACCTTATCATCATCCCCATCTTATGTGACAAGGTTCGTAACTCTAGCACCAATATTGCAAGAATTATCTCCCCATAAACTTAGATTTTTTTACTAGAAAAATGTTATTATAACTTTTTTAGTTTTAAAGGTATCTACTTCAAACTTCAAATACTTATTCCTTATCATCAATTACATTTTATGTGACAAAGACAGTATAAGCATAAAAAGAATGTCAAAAGAAGGGCTCGAACCTTGGCCCTTTCATACATTAGGTAATCACTTAACCGGCTGTGCTATTGCGGATGTTACTAGAACTTACATGAAGCTAGTGGGAGTTTTCCAAACGTTAGTTATAATCCATATTAACTCTCGTAAAATAAACGGACAAAACCGAAGTGGGATCGAATATTTAAATGAGTGCTATAATGTATTCATAATTGACAGGTCAATAAAATCAGACTATACATGTGTTAAAGTTGGAAATATTTTCATAAATTAAACATGGAATTTATGTAGAAATTAATAATCCTTGAAGATATCGCAAAAAATTTAATTACATATAAATTCTAATAATTATGATTTAGACGGTTCCAAGCTTGCGCGCAATACACCAATTAAATAGCGCAAAGTTAAATTGCAATCGATTTATTACATCACAGTTTTGAGTACATACCGTGACATTAGTGCAGTAACGGAATAAGTCCTTCCAGATTTAAAAGGAGTTAATCAGTTACTGCATTACTAAGGTGACGATACAAGGGATAATACTATAACGTACACTTTTTTTGTTACTTCTATACAGGTGATTACAATCTTAAAGCAGCACACCTCCAGATTCATGTTAATTTTCTTGAAAATATGAAAATGTATTTAACAGTATATTATTGTAAAATTACAAAAAGAATGCAATATACACATTATCAATGGCACTTACAACCTATGTAAATTACTAAAAAGAGGTCAAAATATGCAAAAATAGCCATTGCTGCTTTAGTAACGCAGTAGAAATATAGTTATACATACTAGAAAATTTAGTCATTAATCGCACATAACATGTAAATTTTTACTAGAATTTTGAATTTTTATACCTTTCCTAAAATCTTAGTACATTTTCCAGGTTTGTTTTTATCGAAATAATTTTGTTCATCTGGAGGCGTGCAGCTTTAATCTAAGTATTATAACGATGCATTAATATAACATACTTCAGTATAATGACCGTAAACGGTTCACGTCAAAAGTCAAGCATCATCACTTACCAATGTTAAGAAATAATCATCCTGATAGTGTGTCGAGATATCGGTTAAGTAAAATGGTGGCTTGGTCAGTAGAATGAAGCGACCATAGAGATATAGTCTCGTAAGGTTCAGTTGAAAATGTTCGACATGTTATAATATTTTTTAATATTTCGTTACACTGAAGAGGCAGAAATCGCAGGTTCTTTAACAGTAATAGGATATGCATATGATTAATACTAACCTGGACACGTGCATCGATCTAAGTTGAAATTATATCTGTTGATATTTTCATTCTTTTGACCATTATTACAATGTTCACATGTGTATTGCATATGTAATAGTGGTCAGGTTTTATTATAAGCGCACTACATGGAGACCAAACAATTCCCAAATTGAAGAGAAATATATTCTTAAGTCTCCATAAATATTCGACAGTGAATCAAGTACATTATAAATAGTTGCAATTTATGTATTTTTATATAACAACGATTTTAAAAGCATATTTATAGTAATCTTATCTTTATTTAAGAAATATTACATTTACAAATGAGACCGAACAGACAGTAAAGGATGCTCGTTTAATTGCTATGGGATTGAGCCCAGTTTAGTATTTGAAGAGTAACCCGGAATTTATTCCCACGCAGATATAAATCAGCGATAAAGACACAAAAGTAGAATTACTCACGACACTTTCATAAATCTCAATATACTTACAGTCTTTTTTTATCACCAGAACCTGATATTTTCAACCAGGTACATCACTTGTCATCCCAATGGCCGGACAAAACTGGATAAATGTTCACTGCGCCGCACGCTCTTCGGACATCGCATTCATTTTTTCCTACTTTCTATCAAACGTTTCCATTTGTTCGTTTCTCATCCTTTTCTCATTCTTTAAATACTTTAAATATATTGCATCTGTGAAGTTTTTGCATTGTAACTGTAGGCTGTGTGTAGATTCTTCAAGACAGAAGGGTTTAACATGTTCTACGTTATCAGACAGACAATTGTAAACTGGGCAATTCCAAGGATGACAAAACAAATTATTAATTTCTAAAGAAGATGGATAACATGTATGAAAGGCAAGCAACAGTCTTTTCCAGCGCTACTGCCTTTTCTTATTGTGCCAGTTTACAGTACATTTAGGTTCTTTTTTGTAAAATATTTGCGAGTTTTAGATAAGTTTCTAGACCTCAAACAGTTTTGATCATCACCTCTCATTTACTAAATACTATATAAATAATCCAACCGAACATCTTTATTTAATCAAAGTTTATAATACTACATTATCATTTGTGCCTTAGTGAAAGAAATTATGATAAGGAGGATCTTAAAATTATTCCGTGTTATTCATTAAAGTAACAAATAATAACAACAAAAACAACAACTACGACAACAACAATCGTAAGTTTTGATTAGTTTAATTTAGTTCAAAACAGGTGTTAACCACTATGAGTACATTCTCCGAAGTGATTCAGATATAAATTGTGATTGCTGCACCTTGCCTTCTCAAAGTGGCATCTGAAATATAGATCAACATGATATTAAGTGCTCATGTAACCATTGATAACATCGAAAATTAAAAAAGGCCTACATTTTTTGCTATGAAATCAGCCTTTACTTCTTGACTGCTGCTGAAATGTGAAGTTAGCCGTCTAGAATAGCTGCCTGGAAGGCAAGCAGCCTAGGGACAGATATAAACAAAATACGGAATCGGTCAAGAACGAAATTTTATCATTTTCTACGGACATTTGTTTGCTAAGAAATGATGAAATTCTTTACTGCTGTACAGTGAAATGAGGAGTCTGACAGACTAGCAGCCTTAAGTAAAGTGTCTGATATCAAAAAAATAAATACGAAAACGTTCAAATAAATTACAATTGTTCTTTTAGCACAAGCTTATTTGCTATATATGAAATGAACTTTGAACTCTATGCTACGGAAATAAAAAGCACCATAGCAGCTTGTTAGCCTAGCAGTATATCAAATGGTTTTTTTGAAGAAAAGTAAATACCGTGACTGAATCGAGGCCTTTTCAAAATTACTTATATTGATCATACGGCATTTATTTTCAAAATAAATCTTAACGTTCTTATTTTAATGAATTTTAAAATGTTTGTTATAATTTACTACTATATAGTCATCTTACACGTTAGTATAAGTTACGCCATTCGTGCCGCAGTACTTTATGCTACTTCTGAAGGTTGAGCAATCCATTAGCAGTAGAGATTCGCATGCTATACCAAGAACAATTTCTTGCTCGACTTTCTCATGGTCACATGGTCCCGCTTTCTCTATCGACAACGACGGGTGAAGGCAAACGTCCTTAGAAAACTCGCAACTTTAAAGAGTAAATATCTATAAATATTAGACTATACAATGGTTGCAAATTACAATTGTAATAATTTAACATTGTGACAACAAATATGCTATATCAGTTTCTATGAATAATCATGAAATATAAGAAATATTTCAATATACAGTTGACGACCATTTTCTTTAAATGAAATGTTGTCATTTGACAAAATGTCGTTGTCAACACGATATCTTTTTAACTAAATTCTTTGAAGACAACATTCTTTTTTTGACAACATTTCTTAGAAAAGCTATCAATGTTTGCTAAATGTGTTCGTTCGTATGGTGTCTTTGTCGACAAGCAGTCATTTTGGCTAAACGTGTTTGTTTGTTTGTCAACTGTCATTTCGTTTCTATGTATTAATAAGTAAGATGTTTTTTGTTGACACTTTTTATTTTAGCTGAATGTGTTCATTAGTAAGATGTCTTTGTTGACTGCTTTTATTTCAGCTGAATGCTTTCATTAGTAATATGTCTTTGTTGACAACTTTTATCTTTGCTGAATATGTTCTTTAGTAAGATTCTTTGTTGATTTGTTTGTGTTTGTTTTTAGGTTTTACGTCACATCAACAAAGTATAGGTCATATCGCGACGTTCCAGCTTTTACTGGTGGAGGAAACCTCAGGTGCCCTTCCGTGCATTGTTTCAGACACCTGAGTAGAACCACCGACGTTCCGCAAGCTAGCTGGATAGCTTCCTCACATGAAAGAATCCAAAGTCCCTATCGGGATTCGAACCTACAGCGGTGAGTGGCAAGTGGTTTGAAGTCAACGACCTTAACCACTCGGCCACGGACGCCCCATGTCTTTGTTGACAACGTTTATATTTGCTGAATGTGTTCATAAGTAAGATGTTTTTGTTGACAACTTTAATTTAAGCTTAATGTGTTCATTACTAAGATGTCTTTGTTGACTACTTTTTATTTTAACTGAATGTGTTTATGATTAAGATGTCTTTATTGACAACTTTTTTTAGCATAATGTGTTCATTAGTAAGATGTCTTTGTTGACAACTTTGATTTTTGCTGAATGTGTTCATTAGTTAGATGTCTTTGTTGACTACTTTTATTTTAGCTGAATATGTTCATTAGCGAGATGTCTTTGTTGACAACTTTTCTTTGAGCTTAATGTATTTATAGGTTAGATGTCTTTGTTGACTACTTTTATTTTTGCTGAATGTGTTCATTAGTAAGATGTCTTTGTTGACTACTTTTTATTTTAATTGAATGTGTTTATGATTAAGATGTCTTTATTGACATTTGTTTTAGCATAATGTGTTCATTAGTAAGATGTCTTTGTTGACAACTTTGATTTTTGCTGAATGTGTTCATTAGTTAGATGTCTTTGGTGACTACTTTTATTTCAGCTGAATATGTTCATTAGTAAGATGTCTTTGTTGACTACTTTTATTTTAGCTGAACATGTTCATTAGTGAGATGTCTTCGTTGACAACTTTTCTTTGAGCTTAATGTATTTATAGGTAAGATGTCTTTGTTGACTACTTTTATTTTTGCTGAATGTGTTCATTAGTAAGATGTCTTTGTTGACTACTTTTATTTTAGCTGAATATGTTCATTAGTGAGATGTCTTTGTTGACAACTTTTCTTTGAGCTTAATGTATTTATAAGTAAGATGTCTTTGTTGACTACTTTTATTTTTGCTGAATGTCTTCATTAGTAAGATGTCTTTGTTGACCACTTTTATTTTAGCTGAATGTTTTCATTATTAAGATGTCTTTGTTATTTTTTTAGCTGAATGTGTTCATTAGTAAGATGTCTTTGTTGACAAATTTTCTTTTATCTGAATGTATTTATAGGTAAGATGTCTTTGTTGACTACTTTTATTTTAGCTGAATGTGTTCATTAGTAAGATGTCTTTGTTGACAAATTTTCTTTTATCTGAATGTTTTTATAGGTAAGATGTCTTTGTTGACTACTTTTATTTTAGCTGAATGTTTTCATTAGTAAGATGTCTTTGTTGACAACTTTTCTTTTAGTTAAATGTATTTATAGGTAAGATGTCTTTGTTGACTACTTTTTTTGCTGAATGTGTTCATAGGTAATATGTATTTGTTGACAACTTTTATCTTTGCTGTATGTGTTCATTAGTAAGATGTCTTTGTTATCAACTTTTATTTTTGCCGACTGTGTTCATAACTAAGATTTTTTTGTTGATTACTTTTTGTTTAAACTGAATGTGTTCATTATTAAGATGTCTTTGTTGCAGCTTTCTTAGCTTAATGTATTTCTTAGTAAAATGTCTTTGTTGACTACTTTTATTTTTGCTGAATGTGTTCATTAGTAAGATGTCTTTGTTGACTACTTTTATTTTAGCTTAATGTATTCATAAGTTGGACATCTTTGTTGACAACTTTTATTTTAGTTTAATATGTTCATAAGTTGGATGTCTTTGTTAACAACTTTTATTTTAGCTTAATGTGTTCATTTGTAAAATGTCTTTGTTGACAAATTTTATTTTAGCTTAATGTGTTCATTAGTTGACAACTTTTATATTTGCTGTAATTCGTTTTTGTTGAGAACTTTAATTTTTACTTAGTGCGTTTGCTTGAAGATGTTTTTGTTTACAACTTTTATTATCGCTAAATTTGTTCCATAGCAAAATATCTTTGTTGAACATTGTTATCTTTACTAAATGTGTTCGGTTGTAAGTTGGTTTTGTTGACAACTTTCATTTTCACTGAATATGTTCATAAGTTAGATGTTTTTATTTAACGAGCTGTCATTTTGGCAAAATATATTTGGATGTCATTCTTCATGTTCTTTACAAAATTCCTTTATGGCTTAACGCATTGTTGACAAGATGTCTTTCTCGGCAACATTTATTATGGCTAAATGTGTTCCTTAGTAAGACTTTTTGATGACACTAAAATTAATATATTGATTTGTATAATGTCTTTGTTGGCAAACTGTCATTTTGGCTAAATGCTTCCATTAGTTAGATGTTTTTTTTGACAAATGTCATTTGACTAAATGTACTCGTAAGTAAGATTTCATTGTTGATAACTTTTATTTTAGCACAACGTGTTCGTTAGTAAGATGTTTTTGTTTACAACTGTTATTTTACTTAATTTGTTTTACTAAATGTGCGTGTTTGTAAGATTTTTTTTTGTTGACAAGAAGTCAGTGTTGATGGCCATTGACATTTTAGTTAAAATTTAATCTTTGTCAGTAAGATGTTCTTGTGGACAAAAATTGTAGTTTATAAAGATTCTTTTGGTGACAAGAATTGTTCATTTTTGTTGACCTGAGCTACTTTGACTGGACGTCTTGATTGATGAGATATGGTTGTAGACGACAAGTTTTGTTGACAAGTGATGACTGGAGGTGTGATTTTAAAAGAAGTCTTTTAAGCGGCGGTATTTCAAAATCAGTAATTTATATGATGGAACATATCTCTAGGATTTGTGGTAAAGGTGAAGTGTTTGGTCTTTCCATTTATGGTCTTGTCAAGGTTATGCTATATTTATAAAACAGCATGTTGCCCTAAAGGGAGAAAAAGGCAAAATTTTCATTTCTTCGTTTTGATTTTTTCATTCTTAATTCTGTAAATGCCCTCGAAATAAATACACTAGGCAGTCAAAGGAACAACACTTTTCTCCTTAGAAAGAATGAAACGGTGTTTCCTAATTTGTCCCAGGTGGGTCAGGTTAGAGCGTTAAGATTCCACAATAGTTGTCACGGTGAATTTTGGAAACGTTAAAGAACATGTCAAATGATTTAGGTTTGTTTCAATCATACAATATCCACAACATCTGTTATTGTAACTTTCACGGTTTGTTCAAGTCACTTGACTAGTTCTAAAAATATTCGGTGATTCTGATGGCGTCTTAATTTCGTTCAACATATATAGATATATTTACGCTACCAACCTAAAATAGAGGTTAACCCAAGGTTACAATGCATTCATATAATCAAAGCACAGATGGCGCTGAATTTGTTTGGATCTCAGAATGTCAGAAAGGTGAAGGTTGTGAGATTATAAACCAATTTGTGTTTGTACAGTGCCACCAATGCTGTTTCCAGTGTTGTAACTGTAGTAAATTGGCTTTAAGGCCAATTGCAATGTTTATTTGACTTAAACAATTTTTTTTAAAAAAAAGAAAGAAAAAAAAAGATATTTTGTTCACGGTAAACCTGTTGTTTACGCTGATGTAAATAATCATGGAGCCTAATGTAAGCATGTATCTGTAAAGAATTACACAATATTAGAAATCTTCGACTAATCGGGAACTATTTTTTCTTTCCCGTGAAGGTTTTAAAATTAATGCGCCTGTCATTTGCCAATCTTTACACATTGATCTCACCTTAATTTTTCGGCGATAGTGTACATGTAAAGGGAAGTAACCGCTTCGAGAAGTTCGGACTTCTTTCGGTATTTGCAAATAAGAGAATCAGGGTCTGAAATTTCGCTACCATTATTTGTTTGGTCTGACGACCCATGTTGTCAAGGTTAAAATGTTGTTATTTTATAACATACTTACTGGTTTGCGTAAGTTACTTTATTTGTGCCACATAATGTTCCAGTTGCATGATGAGTACAGTTTAGGTTGACCATATAAACACAAAGATCGGAGCTGTTTACCAGCACAAAGCCGGATGACACTGCTGATGATGTAGAAAACAACAGTTAATAAAACAACAACAACAATAATAATAATAATAACAACAACAATAATACTAATAATAATGAAAACAGTAACAAAACAATATCAATGTGAACCATTTTAACTTTACATTGATCATTGCTTAATGGATTTTTTATCATTATTTTATTATCATTATTAAATGTTTATTATTATTTATACACATGTTTAATGTTTGTTTAATGCACTAAATGTAACAAACTTAGGCGTGATAAATTGTAACTTTTTTGTAAAAATTTAAAACTTTGATAACTCAGATGTAAAAGCTATGCGGAAAAAGGCACATTGTAGACGCAGGTCTATTTTTCATCATCGGTTAATCACGGTATATATTCCGTACATATTCGAATGATGGCCCCGGTCAAATTTATTAATAACACAGACATGGTGTTTTGAAGTCACTGAAAACTTCCGATATTTTCTGTCATTGTAATTTGTTCTTGTTTAAGTGTAGGAATTGAGCAGTATGTTTGGGTTTTTACCCGAAACTGACTCTCCTTATGGAGGCGAAACAGTTAAAAATCAAGCATTGACAGTTGGCGAAACTTTGGATAAATTTTGTGAAAAATCTTAAGGTATGACAGGCAGTTTATTTGACATTTTTGAAAAAGCCATTGATTGCACAGTGTCTTAATATAAGTAGTGATATTTCTTATTAAAGAAATCAGACGAATTCTGGAATATCCTGCAACGTCATCAAAATGATCCATATTAGTATATTTCAGGTGTGATTTTTGTTGGGTGGGGGTAAATATGAACTGCTGTCAGGAGCAATGCATGCAAACTATAATTATTTTATTCAATTTATGTCATATATTCTTGAATAATGCTGTACAACTGGTTATCTGCCTGTTAAGTTACACTAAAAAATTGCTCAGTTTGAGGTTCCCTGTCCCCTTTATCAAAATACCCTTACTTACTGCATTTTCTAGATAATGTAGTATGTACGGAATATATATCGTGGGTAACCGGCCTGGTCTTTCTGTAGTGTCATATAAAAATACCAAATGTCTGTCAAAAGAAACTAACTACATGCAGGTAATATGAACCAAATGGTGTATGAACATGATAAAGGATAGAAAGTGCTCTTCATCACGCTTCCTAATGAATAAGATAAATCTTCCAAATTATACGTTTCAAATAGATAAGAAAAATCTGAATACGAAATCCTCAAATACTATAATGGAGGGTATGTATAATGTAATATAATAATTTAAAATGTACATGCTATACAACATAATTGATCAGAAATGAGTGTTATGTATACTTTTTTATAATTAACAAGTCGACATTTAATCAAATTATTAACAACGTCTTATACTTTTAAATAACTTTGAATTTAATGAACGTATCTCATTAGATAATGACATATATGTACTCACAGATCGTTATCAAAAACGTAAGCAGTTGCATAAACTTTCCACTTTCGTGTAAATATGACATTTTGTGTCGTGAAATATCATTTCAAATTCATCTAATATTATATATAGAATCATAAACTGATAAGAAACCGGTTTGAAGTTATGAAAGATTTCATTGCTCTAAATAATCGAAAACTAGACTGGCCTCATATCAGATGAAATACTATTAAAAACAATCCAAAACTTTTAAAACTATGTGATGATCAACCTTTTTTTAAAGTATAATAATTCAACGTTATTTACATTAAAAGGAGATACATGCAAAATTTTCACTTCTTTGTTTTTGTATTTTTCATTCATTATGCTGCAAATGGCCTCAAAACAAATACACTGGGCAGTCACAAAACTTTCTCCTTATAAAGAAGAAATTGTTGGTTTCCTAACTTGACCCACGTGGGTCAGGTTAGAGCGTTAAGATTTCACAATAGTTGTCAAAGTGAACTCTGGCAATGTTAAAGAAGATGTCAAGTAAAAGCCACAGACTTGTTTCAATTATACAATATCCACAATATCTACTATTGTAACTTCCAGGGTTTGTTCAAGTCACATGACTTGTTTTAAAACTACTCGGTGATTCAGTCAGTGTCAACATTTCGTTCAACATATATAGATATATTTACACTTTAAAACAAACCCAAAATATATAGAATTTATACAAAAATTCAAGCTGGGACTTTACAAACATGTCATTTTAGCTTGATTTGTGTCATTTCAATATTTTTGTCATTAATCTGCCTGAATATCCCTTTTAAGAATGTTAACCTTTTTTATTATGATCGACTATATACGGTGTATTATTATAGAATCTGAGTAAGATGTGGATAATATAATATAGGAAATATGAGTTAAGTTTGTGGTGTTGATGAGAAACCTTTTGTGGTTTTATTGACAACAATTATCCTGAAATAGCACGGCATTATATAACATGAATTTATAATACCACGGTTTTATAAACTCGTATCGTACAAGGCGTTACCTTTGACTTTATGGGCTCTTATTTTTCAATCATTTATTTGTTTTCTTTAATTTCCTTATCAATAACTAATGATTTTAGTGGTTAGCCTGCCCATGCCCTTGTGCCTGTTTTTGTTTTGGGGTCCTCCTAGGCTCCTTGCCACTGGCTCTTGTTGCTGGGTCGGGAAGGGGTTGCGTTCATTGAACGCCGCCTTTCCTCGTTGATCTTGTTTATCATATTTTATGTACTCGTACCATGGGTTTAAATCTCTTATTCCATCCCCCTATGCCAGAAATCTTAGAAACACACAATTAAAAGACCTGTCCTCTCCCAATTCTGGTTTGGTGCCTTCTTGATACCCTGCTGTTGTTGTGGCCGGGGTGTGTCGGGGACTGCGTAACCTGTGAACGTTGCCTTTAAACGCGCTACAAAAATGATTATTCTGGACAAACAAAGTGAACAAATGATTTGAGATTTTGCACACAAGCTATTGGTATTGACCTACAACAGATTTATTTTTCAATCTAAAACACTTTTTCAAGTGCTGCCGTGTCTAAAGATCCAGTAGAGTTCCTTTAAATGTTGCATGTACTCAGTACTAAATCAGATTCTCTGAGGACCATTGCTATAAATGCGGGTATTTAATTGTCATAATAGAACTATCAACCGATTGTAGGTTTTGACAATGATGTAATTACAGTTACCACCTTACCAGGTGTTTCACTTTAGCTTTCACAACATGTTTCTTCATACCGATTAAGAATGACCAACTCAACAATTTTTTTATTACAGTTTCATCTTTGTTACTAATGAAAATGTGTAAAACATCCGCTCATATTGTTGTTTTTTGTATATCTTACATAGAAAAATCCATCATGGATATGTATAAAGTAAACATCCGCCAAAAATGCCCATATCAAGTGCCACACAAGAACCACCCCATACCAGAGCCATGCCAGCCCTTACCCCACCAGAAGTGCCGAGAGAGAGGCGCGCCTGAAGACCAGGCCAAACCCGACATCAGATGATCCAGGCTAATGAGGCTATCACACACAACAACCATTCAAAGGAATATGATCGCCTGACACATACCGTATCTTCTACTTTATTTTCAATAAAATCATAAATAGCCCGTTGGCATTTTATGTATTAATATGCACATCGACGTTCTGACTTGTCATATGATAATTAAACCTGCATATGATTGTTCCAATAAATTAAAATCTATAAAAAGCGAGCATTTTAAAACAATTAAAAACGATTCTCATTTTAAGTATGTTCCTTGATACAGCTACGTTCAAAATCTTTGAAAAAAAGATTAAACAGAACAAAAAGTAAAAGGAAAAATTAATAAAAGTGCCAATATTTCGGCAGTGTACATCGTTCTTAGAAGAAACCAATTTCATATAGTTCATCGAAATGATTATACACATTTTGGTGAACCATATATTGGTCTCCTGTGATTGAATATTATCATTGTATCATTCCCAGAAATTCTCATATGCAGTATCAGATTTGTTATGTACATTATATAATTTATCCCTTCCAGACAATATATCAAAACATTGATGATGTTGCAAGTGATGATAACGTGATTATCCCTAGTACCATTTTGTTAAGATGTTTAACTTAAAACATCGCTGGCTTATATTGAATACTCGTTAATGCTAAAAATGAAATCCGATTTATTAAACAAATTACCAAGTTGATACCCTTGGTTCTTTACACAACTAAATTGAAAAATGGAAACTATGTTGTTTGAACCGGAATCTTTTAACCAATTGTTCCATCTTCAATGATAAATTATATAATGTATACGGCATGATTTTAAAAGTTGGAGAATGAGTGTTTCAGCTTATGTATCAAAATGATATATAGGGTTATTTAACGGTTGCCTTTTATTCATGAGCTTATTTTTACTTTGTTTCCAATGTTAAAAAGAAACTAAGCTTCACTAATATATAAAGAAGGTAGAGAAGACAACTCTTTTCAAAATCAATTTCAGTATGTAAGATCATATTATCAATAAAATATTTAAATGTCAACAAACCAAATGTTACCTAAATGTGCTGATAAATTTTAAGATTGTGCCATTTAAAGAGCTAGTCGTGACTTTCAACATGTCTCTTATCTCTTGGGAACAGTGGATGTGAACTCAGTTTTGACAATATTTTCAACGTTATTACATCTTGGTTTTATACTACAAAAATGTTTTGTGTTGGTTTTCTATTTGTTTTGGCAATCGGTAAGTTTAATTCTAGAGTTCTTTTAATATGATGATTCTTGGTTTACAAAGCATCTTTTAAATTGTTTAAATATGTAACATAAATGAGCCGCGTCACGACAAAACCAACATAATTGGTTTGCGACCAGCATCCGCGCAGTCTGATCAGGATCAATGCTGTTCGCTATCAGTTTCTCTATAGGGTTTGGAAGCGAACAGCATGGATCCTGATCAGACTGCGCAGGGTGCGCAGGATGGTCTGGATTCATGCTGGTCGCAAACCCATTGTGTTGGTTTTGTCGTGACGTGGCTCATTTTGACACCAAAAATCAAAGAATGAGAGACACGTATTCTTGCGGGCTGGCCTGACTCTATAATGGTGTCAAAGCCAAGAGATTCTTTGGTTTTAGCGACTTTAAATTTAAAAAATGAGTCATGTCTCGGACAAAAAGAAACGTTTTGAAATATTTACAATGATAATCTAGTGATGTCTGCATTTATATTTAACCCATGACAAATAAAGCTTTAAATTATTTTGTTATTACATACGTCATAAATTGTTTCATGATCAATGCTTTTTGTTTCCTGTGAAACCTTTAACCATGAAGAATGTTTATACAAGGAAATCATCTAAAAGTGTACATAGCTTTATTTGAAAATGTATTTTTTGTAGATATGTACAAATCAAATTATTGAATTGCCTAAAAAAAGGTTGATCTTGATGAATGCATTTTAAATATATGTTGGTATGTTGATATGTTTTTTTTTTTCATAATGAAAAAAAGATAATACATCATTATCTAAGTACTCCATGATTAAATAACTTTCCATTTCAAAGAGTCAAACTGACACAATTATTGTGGTTCATGATTATAATGGTGCTTATTGACTTATATAAAACAGAAATACAAATGTAGTGACCTTTTATTGTGCTCAATAATTATCAGCCTATGTCGGTTATATTTACTATATAAATGAATCATGATATATCATCACACATTGGATTTATAAATTGAGAGAACTACTTTAGCTTTATATAATTCTATGAAAATAGCTTGAATAATGAAACTTATGTAAACTATATTGATCCATCTAACAATCAGAGAAATCGATTTGTTTATGAAAATAACCTTTTATTGTACATTTCTGCAATTGTCATGATTATGTTCAAGTTTACAGCTTTGTGCTTGCTTTCCAATAGCAGTCGCTTAAATTTGTACGTTTTCAACCAAAAAATGCTTATTGTCACGACAGTGATGTTGCTGTGATACATTTTCACATTGCGGATCAAGCAAACATCGCTGATGAAATAATTTGCTGATACTTACTTACTCAATATATGTATTGACAAAACATAAAATTTCTTTCAACAATGTATTCAAAGCTCTTTTTAGCTAGTTGCTATGCATTTTTATACGGTTCATTAATACTAATCTTTACGTTAATATACTGTTTCTTCTGCATAAAAGGGACAAAAATGAAAAATGATGACCATGTAGATACCACAAAATTGCGTTAATACAGATATCACATTTACAGTGATACTCGAACAAATAGCTGCAACCATGTATGTAAATTTCCAATTAGTACTTATCAATGCGTTTTTATGCTTTTGCTTATTTAAGGCAATGACGTCAATACATCATGTAATAGCTTCATCCCTTGCTTCAAGCTTATCCTTTCTTACAGCTTTGCCGTTTCCCAGTCTTGTTTCTGCAGATTATTGTGCTCATATCTTTTCAAAAGATTGTGCTTTTGTTGCTGACCTTACCGTTGTTTGCGGAACCGACGGAAAGACGTACAGAAACAGGTAGAGTAGTCTCCCTTGATGACCTCATTTTAATTTTTGTTAGCAGTTACATCGACGGCACAAGTTTTAAATGTGCGGCTATGGTGTAACAAGTGAACACTGGTTTGTAGTTTGAAATTCTCTTTCGAAAGCTATTTTACTTCCAGGTCTCGTTCATGGCGATGTTTGTTCGTACGTGAACACACGAGACTGCAAGACAGTGCCGGCAGAGATTCTATGCGGAACTAATGGAGTATCATATGACAACAAGTTTGTATTAAATTGCTTTATATTTTCTTTCTCCTTTCCATGTTCCTGTCAGAGAAAAACAGCACCCTAGCTTAAGCAGAATTCAACATTTAAATACAAAAATGGCGAAACTTTGAATTTAGAAACATCCACAGATATGTTCATACGTATGCGGTTATCATGGAACCTTCAATATGACACATAAGTGTCATTCCATTTAAAGCCGCGTAGGCCCCAAGTAAAAAGAAATTGTGTGCCCAAAACGAGAAAACAATGGGCGGAACTAAATGAAATGGAATTTTGAAAGGGGATCTGAGGTTATGAAGCCTGAATATCACAGACAAGACGTCAAGTTTGTCTATGTTTAGTTCTCAAGCTTTCAAAATATCAATATTCAACACTTGTTCTAGTATTATTTTGCTTGTATAACAAAGTATTCTCCTGGCATCCATAGCGTTCAAGGGTAGTACTTTTATAGATAGATATAAATCGTATAGAAAATATACGAAACATTAAGGATTATGCGTATTAAGTATTACATCGGCAGCATATATTAAATTTTGCAATATTAAAGAAAAATTGATCAGATCTGGAATTGTTTCATATCACAGTAGAATAATGTTTGTGTCATCATAAACATTTTGTCCTTTTTTATGCTAATATTGAATATTCAGGTTTTTTTTACCAACATAACAAATGTCTTAAATATTTCTGTTTAATTCGTATAGGTTTTTAATGTTTTTCGTAAGTATTAATTTATGAACCGGAAAGGCGTTTGACTTAGGGATTTTGCTTTTACCTATTCACTATGAAAGACCAAAATTGTGATAGAACATTTTCTGTCGTATATATCTTTCAATATAATGGACGTAACTACGTGCATCTATATACCGAAATATGCAATTTAACCACACGTCAACAGTGCAAAGTTAGTCTTTACCTGCCGTAAGTCAAAACTTTTGTAATGTTTTTAGGTACTGTCATCCCGTTGACCCTTAATTTTTATGACAAATTTTCTTCTTTTATATACATTGGCTACCTATGCAGTTACCATATCGCTATTTAATGGTACCATTTATCAAAAGAAATGATGCACTCGTTTTCTTGTGAAAATGACACACTTGTTTGCAATGAAAAACAAATACTATTATAAGTGAAAAGTGATATTACAATGTTCATTAAATATTCCAAGGTTAAAAAGGGTCTATTTTTCATCTTATCTTTTTTAATTGAGACTTGCTGTCTGATATTTATCAAGTTCACGAAGCCTTACAAAATTCGTCGTTTTCATACAGAAAGGTAAGACTTAATTACCACTGAAAGATAATCGGTCCTTGTGACAGACCTTGTAATATTTTACTCTGGATTTGGCTTATTTCTTAAATGGAAGAGTTTTGTTAAACTTGATACAAAAAGAACCACCTTTGTACTTCTCAGAAAAATACTTTAAGCACACACTAAGCGGCTTTTACAAAAGGTAAAATCTGTCAATACTAGAATAGCTTTAGATTAGCCTAAAAGCGAATTGTTGGACACTGTTTGAGCCGCGTCACGACAAAACCAACATAATGGGTTTGAGACCAGCATGGATTCAGACCATCAGGATCCATGCTGTTCGCTTCCAAACCCTGTAACAAGTAGAGAAACTAATAGCGAACAACATGGATCCTGATCAGACTGCGCGGATGCACAGGCTGGTCTGGATCCATGCTGGTCGCAAACGCATTATGTTGGTTTTGTCATGGTGCGGCTCATTTAATGAAAATGCACTGAGCCATATAATTACACCAACAAAGGTAACCTAAAGGGTGATTTGCTAGTACGATTTGCTATTGCAATGCTTCGCAGCTTTTTTGTCCAAACACACTATCTTTAGCATCGGAATTTAAAGCCGAAAGCATAGTATTTAGCTTCATTCTAATTTAACATTCCTATATGGATTTAAATTCCTGATAATGTCATTCGGATGTTCACATAAATACAAAAAAGTTAGTTTCTTTCAATATAACAAACACATTTTCCACAGGTAAAAGGTAAGTTAATTTCCAAATTGCTTTCCTGTTTGTTGCCGCTGTGCTTTTGTTTCGAGGTCAAGAAGGAAACAATGATACAAGGTAACACCGTTAATTGCCGGCAAAATAATCATTTCCAGGCATCGCACAAGGAGATTTATGCGACTTTGTCTTTGATAAGGACTGTGCGTTCTTGTTTGACACGGTACATGTTTGTGGAACGAATGGAGAGTCATACAGGAACACGTTAGTCTCGTTTTAATATTCGTATACAATAATTTCTGTCATTGCAAGTTTCTTCTCGTATTTGTTATAAACTTCTTATAGTTTGTTAAGTAGTTGCGCAACATAGGACGAAAATTCAGAAACGTTTTGACGCTTTTTTATTTGAGTTTTTAAAATGAAGTACCCTTCTAATACTTGCCCAATTTCATATATAGGCTATGGGGATCATTACTTTACTTGAATGACACACTAATGACTGTTATCGAATGTAAGATAAGGCTGCCAAAGTTCGTGATTGAAGAAGACATAAAGCTCCGCTCTGTAAACTTTATGAATGAATAATACAAAGTAAAACATCGTTTATGTTAGCCGTGAAATGTCATGGCGCTAAAGTAAGCGATCTTAATCACGTTGCAATTAAGTGAGTCCTATTAACTTTCCTTTAGGTCTTTAACATGAATTTTGAACTAATATTCTAATTATAGGAACGCTATACGATCAGAGTAAAATCTGAACAAAACGTATTTCAAATTTAGCATATTTATTAAAAAATACCTTTTACATGAATTTAATTGTTTAAAAAAATTATGTGTAGTGTAGTGCGGAAACATCATGTATTTGTTTGATTCAATCATTGTACAATTTTGTATTCACAAACATTGAACTGCATTACTATTATTTTATTTTGTACTTGTAGAATTTGTTAAAAAGGGCACTTTCACAGATAAAAAAAGTCATGTAAATTAGTATACCACTGTCGTCGCAAGATCAATTTATGAAAAAGAAAATTTGTGTTACATCAACGTTTTTTTTCTATTCAAGCTGTTTCTTGGCCAAGGCTTATTGTGCTGACAATACAATTCATAAAGCACACGACGGCGCATGCGCAACATCAACCACACCCTCACCGGTACATGGAAGTCAGATTGCCCTTGATATTTTCTGCTTGGACTTGATTTATATTACATGTCCTTCTGGTGGAAGTAAAATCTGTGGAAGCGATGGGACATTCTACGAAAATATGTACGCCTATTTTAATTTTTAGAAATTTGAAATAATTCAGATTTCAAATTGAGCAGCTTTTCCCTTTAAATAAATCTAAGTTCTTATGTTTGCATTAAAATAGATCTATAGTAACATCTTGACATTCAAACAAATGTCTATTATTCGGTAATATCGAAATCTAGATGTCTTTATCTGAAGGCTTTGGTAGTATCATCTTATACTGTTTAGTCTTCAGAAAAGATGAAACATACTTTTTCATACTTGATCAATAATGAATCCAGTGCTGTTTTAAAATCTTATTTTGCTGTTTCTAATTCTCCATTGAAGTGTTCTTATAACACGATCAAACGATAATACATAATCATGTATTTAAGTCTTCATATGCCAATATCTAGTACCAGTGTAGTTATTTATCTTATACAAAATATTGGGTTGTGATGCAAAAATAACAACATGGTGTAGCCTTCTGACCTTCAATTGGTTTAGTATCTATATATTGTTTTTGTTGTTGTTGTTTTTTCAGATGTGAATTTGACAAAGCTCGTTGTTTCCACAGAACTCTCCAAGACAACGGTATCAACTGCTCTTAAATGATTTAAGAATCTTTAAGATATTGGCTGTTAACAGAAATAATTAAATTTATTACACATGCTTTAGTTATTATTTCAATATTTGAACTGCTACAAGAATTACTTTCTTGATTTATAGTTCCCATTTGTTGTAGTTTCCATTCATTGTAGCTTCAATTTATTGTAGCTCACATGTTCTTTAAATATCATTATGTGAGCCACGTCACGACAAAATCAACGCAATGCGTTTGCGACCAGCATGGATCCAGACCAGCCGGCGCATCCGCGCAGTCTGATCAGGATCCATGCTGTTCGCTTACAAACCCTATTACAAGTAGGGAAACTGATAGCGAACATTATGGATCCTAAACAGACTGCGCGGATGCGCAGGCTGGTCTGGATTCATGCTGGTCGCAAACGCACTATGTTGGTTTTGTCGTGACGCGGCTCATGTAGTACTGCTTTTCCAGAATGTCAAGAAAGCAACATATGTGTATATAAGCCCTGTGAATTGTCTGAAAACGAACGGCGTAAACTGACTTTTTTTCTAAAGAAGCAATGAAAGGAGTTCGAATTATTGAGCTCTTATTGCATTCATTTAACTAAAAAGTATATGCACTGTAAAATATTTAAAACATTTGGTATGTGGATTATTAAAGCAGAATGATACCTGATTCAATTTTCATGAGAAATTAAAAAATATATTCAAAAGTATAATATTCTAAATTGAACAAAGAAAGTACTAGTAATTTACACATTTCAAGCGGCACTACGACAAATCTACGACAATGACCAAAAAAGGCCATAATATGCAAACATAGCCCTCAGTACGTTTGTAACGGTGTTGAAATATGGTAATAAAAATTGCAAAATCAGTCAGTAATGAGTTATTTTTTATATTTGTAAAATTTTTTAACATTTTAAAAAAATCTTTAAAAAGATTTATTTCCTTGAAATATTTTGGCTTATTTTGAAAGCTGCTGTTTTTTTCAAAAAATGGAAAATTTAAATTTCGAAATAATGAAGTTTGGGCAAAATTTGAATCTAGACATCAAATTTTGAAAAATTTATATCAACTAAAGATACGAAATCTATCACCTTGCTAAGGTGCGCATTTTGAGCATTCAACACTTTTGTGAGCTTGAAAAAACTCGACACCTCGTAAAATGACTGATAGGCGTTTCAACGAGCACCGTTTTATCACCATCAAATGAAACGATGCTTAACATAGTCTTCCGTGTATTAAATTAAATATTCAAGATAACTGCGGAAAAATGCATAGCAACGGTATGAATCCGTTTTTCTGTATATTTTTTTCTCCTGCATGCAACTGATTGTTTTTTTAAAAGTAGCATTTTAATAACTTTTCAATAACCATCTTCAAATTAATACGTTAAATTTAATAATCACAAACTATGAAGTTAATGTTAAAAAAAAGAGGGTAAGCAGTCCACAAAAATGTCTAAGGGAAAAAAAACAGTAGTGCCTGAGAGCAATGGTCCAAAAAAAAATGTCTAGTCAAAATTTTAAAGGTTAATGAGTACTTTTATCGGTATTCTTTTAAAATAAACAGTATAGGCGGCTTAGAGAGCACTAAATGTGGGACAAAAAGGATTAGCGGGTAATAAAAGTTATAATGAAAAGAAAAATTAAGCTCAGCTTTTCAAGGGGAAGCTTAATTAGAACTAATTTCAATTTCAATCTAATGCAAACATTATGTTCCAGTTAAGAATTTTATAAAGAACTACCACACTACCAAATATTTAATTACACGTGGTTGTTGATATTTCATGTGGTTGCTATAGTATATCCTTGCAACTATCATATAGCGTCTTTACACATATAAAACATGTAAAAGTAGATAAATTGGGTACAAGTAACATATTTATAGGATACTATTTCATATCATTTTTGTTATCTATTTTATCTATAACTTCTATCAAAGTCACAAAGTAATAAAAATAGATCAGAGGAATTTAACTCATCCACAACTCATTCGAGTTTATTGGGGTTGTATTTCATGTATTCGATCGGTTTTTCTCCTAATTTATTCGAAGTCTGCAACCAAAATGTGCTTGAACAAGATATTTTTGTATATTGAACGTTATATTCGGACTTGCGAACTAAACCGTTTGTACATCATTGACAGAAACATATTTTGTTATTGTTAAATGCAGTTCAAAACTTACAAATTCGAACAAATTATGAGAAAAACCGACCAGAACAGTCACATGTCAAATTTCAAAATATCTACATGATTTGTTTATATCTTCAATAACTTCGTCAAAACAGAATCTAGGATACTGAAACCTTTAACCGAGTGTGGCATATATATTGCATTATGAAATAGACATACTAAAGAACTTCAAAATAACAAAGAAACCCACTTGCCTGGCAAAAATTCGTTTACCCGTTTCAAAAAATCACGCCGTGTTCGCCATTTTGTCAAGTTTGCAACTAATTAGCTCGCTTGAACCAAGTGTGCAACCACTTCACGTCCTGCCCCTTGATGGTTATACCCATTATTGAACCGCGTGTGTATTTTCGTTATCAGAAGTAAATACGTTATATTACTGCATGATGATAAGAAATTGAAAAACTGTCAGCTATAAATGATAATGGATTCGATAACATTACTTTGTCTTAGAAATAATTTGATTGTTACTTAATTTAAGTACTCAAATTCCTGAGAGAAAAGGAAGAACTGTTAAGACTGAAATTGAAAATAATTACAAATTGAAGGAAGTTGTTAATGTTTTACTGTAGGTTCTGTACTGCTAGGTGATGTCCAAGCTTCATGATGTGAATCTCGCATATCCGTATTGATCTTCAGGCGCATACGTCTTTGATTTTGAGAATGGCAAATTGTGGGATTTTCGTTAGCTGTTTTCATATTTTCAATCATTGATTGGTTTTCTGAATGAAAATGATATAGGATAAAAAGTCATAGAAAATGTGTGCTATAGAGCTCATAATTAGACACTTTCAGTGACTGCCACTAAATTTGTTTTGAAATGTTAGTTTTTATAGTGCACGAGAACATGTTGTGTGTGCGTTGCGTGTGTGTGTGTGTGTGTATATGCGTCTTTTGTGTAGACTATATAGTGAATAAATCGTCTTAAAAACAACAAGTCCCTTGCAAGGGTTCTTCCTTGAATGAAGGGCCTGCAGGTGTTCAAAATAATTTAATGCAAAAATCTGGTTGCCATGGCAACCAAAAGTAATTATGGGAAGAACTTTAATTTTTTTTCACTATAACCAAGAGGCTTAGAGCACAGGTATTTTGCACAAGGCATTGTTTCGTTGAACCATACAAAGATTGTTAAATTTCAGCCCTGGGGTAACAAGTAGCCTTGTCCGTAGGTCATATGTTCTCCTGATATGTATATAGTAACATTTAAATCAAACTTACAAGGGAGAAATCTTAGATACGAGTATTTAGCAGGACCTCTACCAATCCTGGGGGATCCTTGTTTCCCTAGCAACATATTATAAAGATTTAAAACGTTTTAATGTCTTAAACTACAAGACAAAAGATTAGACATTTAACAAGAACATTGTTCTGTAAACCTCTTTTAAGACTGTCAAATTAAACCATTAGAATTGAAATTGGCCCCACCTTTCCAAAACTGAAAGGGTAAAAGCTCAGATATTTTTTACGAAACATTGTCAAGTAGACCTCTACTAAGATTGTTCAAATTACAGCACTGAGGTCAAAATAAACATGGCCAAGGGGGGATAGATATTCCCTGTATACGTTTTTTAAGTTAGAGGAAAAAGGAAACTGCACAAATAATTACAAAGGCTATACCTTAGATATTTGGCATAACACATTGTGTAGTGTAGACCTCTACCAAAATCATCAAATTAAAGCCATTGTGTCAAAATTGTCCCACGTCGGGACATCAAGAATTTTCCCCTTTATAGATTTATAAAAAAACTGCTCTTCCAAAACTACATGGGCTAGAGTTAAGATATTGGGCATGAAACAATATCAGTTAGACTTGTACCAAAAGTGTTAAAAATATGGCACTTGGGGAAAAAATGATTTCACCCGGTGGGGGCAAGGGTGATCCTTATATGAATATAGTAAGAACATGCAGAAATATGACATTGATCCTCAAATTCTACACTTCTGCATTAATATCGGCAAGGTTCATTGTAAGGAAACAAGAATAATGAACTTCATGTATTTCTGTTTCTGCTATTTTATTGTTGTATAATGCGGTGAAACAAATGCAATCTTCCTTCTAATTTCTATGCCCTCTTTTTCGGTGTGGGATTTAGATTTGCCCTTGTCCTTCCTTCCGTCCGTCCGTAAGTGCATTCTCTTGTTGTGTCACATAAAGCTTAAAAGTGCTTGGGCTAGAGTCAACAAAATGTATAGGAATGTTGATCAGCATGTGAAGTTGTGCCTCATGGGGTTTGCTTGTGGAATAATTCAGCATTTTAGAGTAATTTTTCTTGACTAAGTAAGCAATTTTGAACTTGTGCCGCGCGTAGCTTAAGAAGTATTTGACATGGAGTCATGAAACTCTTCAGAAATATTGATTAGCATGTGAAGTGGTGCATCTGGGGTTTTGCTTGTGCATTTTTTTTTTGTATTTGTAGAGTAACTGCCCTTGACTTATTTAAGTTCGCAATGTTCAATTAGTGTCGTGCGTACCTCAAAAAAGTATATGACCCAGAGTCATAAATCCGTAAAGAAATGTAAGTTAGGGGTTTGTTTGTATATTTAATCAGAGTTTGTTGAGTAATTGTCATTGACTTAGTAAAATCAGCTCCAGAACGTTTTGCCATACGCCCCTCTTAAAGTGTTATGAGCTAGAGACAACAAACTTTATCGGAATCTTGTTCAATATGTGACGCTGTGCACCTGGATATTTTATTGTGGTTGTTTTCAGTTTTTTAAGTGTTATTGTCCTTGACATAAATTTGCAATTTTCAACTTGTTCATGCGTAACTCAAACAAGTTGTATTTGAAAAGTTTCTTTGCCTATTTATATCGTAAACTGCGCATAAATATTTTAAAACTTCCGCGTTAATCTTTTGTTCGTCTAGTCCGATTTGTGTTCGAAATTGAAGACAGAAGTTTTGATAAAGCATAAATTTTGAATTTCAGTTATAGATTAATACAAGGCTTTTAGATACTGTAAGAATGGAACTCGTAAGTATTTCTTTTTTTGCGTTGAAATATATTTTTGCATAAGAAAATTGCATGGAGTCAATTGGTAATGTTCCAAGAATATGTTCGAATGTGTAATAAGTCAGTGTTCTATGATATGCTATATAAAGTAGTAGTATGATATTCATAAATAATTCAGTATGTCTTACATCTAAAATTTAATTAGTTTGTTATTGCTATACTTAAATGTGATTCACTCAGTGAATTAAATATATTTAAAGCTTAAATTTTTGTCACTCATTGTCTTCCTTTTTGTTTATGCTATCATTTTTCGCCCAGGTACATTTGATGTATGATCAGTATAATCAGTAAACCTGTTTTAAAACCGATAGAAAAGTTTATGAAAAACTATGCAAATGTCACATAAATCTTATACCGTTACAATAACATTAATAAATCAATTGGCTGGAATTTAAGTGATTGCATACTTGGTTGGTTTAAGCTAGCAAAATGGTTGCAAATTTACAAAAATGGCGACCGAAACCTGAGAATTTAAAGCGCCCTCCCAAAATTTAACCGAGTAATTGGGTTGTATGTCATTTTGAAATTTGTGTGTAAGCCCATTCATTAAAGCAATGTGTTTTAGATTTCAGCTGCCTAGCTTCTGATTTGAGGAAGTTTTTTTATGATATTAATGTACATATTTTGCTATTTGACAAGCGACTATTTTAGTTGTTTTTATTCAAGAGTGATTCAAACAAGCCAAAATATGTTTCGGTTAATAATGTACAACACCTTTCACGTGCATGCCTTATATAACGTTGCAATACACAAAGATATCTTGTTCGGTTGCAAACTTGTACTTTAAAATATAGTATTTGCAAACTTATTCATATTTTTGAGTCAAATATAAAACTGCAAATATTTGCATGAACATTGATATATCCTTATGTTATCTAAATGTTATTTTCATGTGTGTGACTTTAATTTTTAGTATTTTCCTTTCCTTATTGAATTTTAAATTGCTATCATTTATCGGTAACTCGAATCCACGGCCCGTCTTTGTGCCCTTATACATTTTGATCTGCTGAGTGCTTAATTTTGTAGTAGGCTGGATTCTGTAAACTTCTTTCTCTGCTCTTAATTTTTTTTTTCACAACCGTAATTTTCACAACCATAATGATCGTGTGTATTTCTTTTATGAAAAAATAATGGAAAATATATTTGAAAAATTACTGTGAATTATGAAAAAACTTAACTGAACCAACATAAGAAAGAATAGCATAAATTAGAAAGAAAAAGAAAAGAACGTATTCTTCAGTTAAAAAAGGTGTCATCATAAATGGAAATGTAAATGATAGTTACACGACATAAATATTTCACACCTCTTGTGAAAATGCAAGGAAAGGAAGCGATTAGTTTTAACAATAAAATTGTACAACCAATGGACATTGTAGAGTATGAATTGTGACAAGAAATATATGTATAATATTGTTTGTTTCATATGTCAGCATTGTCTTTTTTCTATTTTTGGCTACGCTACACTTGAAAATAGTGCGTCTGATATTCACTCGATATTTACCAATTAATCTTGCACTGATACAAACAAATACTAGTATCACTTATATAAAGTTTGTCCTTGTTACTATTCTAGCCTGTTTTTAGAATAGTGTGGCAAAGGGAATATTGACAAGTTAACAACGGACGAAAATTGCAGATCCATTGTTCTTAGCATATGACGCATATTGAAAATTCAACTGCACTGATCTTATTAAACCTCTTTTTTACTTTCCAAGAAGTCAAATGAAATTTAGTGTTGCAAAAATGTACATTTCTTACTTTTTATGGAATTGATTTTTAATTCCAATCAGAATGGGAATCATCTAAAACAACTAAATTTTATGGATAAGATAGTTCTGTCACGTAAAATGAAAATACTATTGAAGCAAAATATATTTGCAACAAAAATGATTGAAGCACAACCAAAGTGCGATTGAAAAAGATATTTTTCATTTTAGGAATTAAAACTTTATTTGCTTAACATGCAAATGAATACATTTTTATAGTATTGACATAACTTTATTTTGTCTTTTTTGGTGAAATGAGTAGAAAAAAATGACCAGAATAGTAAATTTTATATCATTTACATGTCGAGTTTATATCTTCAACAACTACACCAAATTAGAAGCTAGGAAGCTGAAACATATAAGTATTGCCTTTAAAATGTACATTCAAAAGAACATACGTACAGTATGAAAAACAAGATCAACAAGGAAGAGCGGCGTTCAATGAACGCAACCCCAACACTACCCAACAACACAGGACCACTGGCAAAAAAGGGACAGAGCACATGGCAAGTGTACGCCGAGTGCTGGTTTTTTGGCCGAAGGATCGCCAGAGACTTATATATCAAAAATAGCTATAACTAAGGATTTAAGGGATATTTAAGCTCATTGTACTACTATTGTCTTTTTCTATAGTTATGAAAATAACATCAAGTACATATATTGACTGTAAGAGAAATAGCACGTAGTCTAACACTGTTTTAAATAGTTAAAAAGTTATTTGCTTTTAGAAAAACAAAACAAAGCCAGGTATCTCTCTTGTAAAAAAGATGGTTTTTATTTACTTTTGTAACAAGTTTAGTTTTTCCTTTGTTATTTCTATTTTGTTCCACCATAACTTAAAGTGAGATATTATCAAGGAAATTATGCTTTAAAATGATCTGTAGGACTTTAATACAAACCCAACAGCTTAAATTCTAGTGTCACGAAGTTATCGTATTTACAACTAAAATGTAGTATAGCACGATCATTTAGCTTCCTTAAAATATTTTTAATGCGTATTATGTCAATGTTGTAGACAATAAATATTGTCTTTAACATTTTTGTTCTCAACTCTAGTCTTTCAATTTCCATTCAAAATATTTAAGTTATTTCATTACGAAGTTAAATGCCTCACGCACATAAAGTATGTTGGTATAAACAGTCTCGCCAATTTGTTATTTAAAGTCGGCGAAAATAAAAGAATTTAGACGTGATGTGTCTTATAAGGTTATTCATTGTTCTCGTTGTATATTTGTCTATGTTTAAATATGTATATGTAAGAAATAACAAACTCTACATATATTCAGTAGCGCTTTCAATATTTTCTTCGCATATCTTCAGCCGAAACTTTTATAAACAATAAACATATAAACAAATAGACGTAACGTCATGAAAAAAGAGGGAACGTTAAATGATAACGTATTTCCCGGCAAACACAATATAGTTATTTATACTTCATTACCGAATATACATAGAGTTTGTTTATTTCTTTAACATTATTATTTTATATAATTTTGACACTGTTAATCAGATCTTTGCAGTGAACTATTGCCAGTATCAATATATAAAATTATATTGATGTTGGCAATCAGTTCACTGCAAAGCTCTGATTTACAGTGTTAAAACCATTCTACATAATTTGAAATGAATATAAGTTGAATGAATATTACTAACTTAAAAATAATATACTGATTTATAGTCACATTGTAAAATATAAAAATTCCATACAGCTAACTGACTCCCTTCCATTGTGCTGCAAACGCAAAGTTGCAAAGAAGATCTTTATTTTGCATATAGATCTACATGTAAAAATTAAAATAAATGTTTACTTTTCACAGATTTGATTCTTCTGAAAAAATAATTGTAATATATTGGACAATTTCTTATCCTTATTTAGATTTTGACGAGGTTAATTAGCATTATAACGCTTAACTCAAGCTGAAAAAAGAGAAAAGTCCAAAGAAATTGTTTATATCATAATTGAAGTTTTGATTGTGCATAAAAAGGTAACGCATATTCGAATAATGTAACATCCTAAGCATATCTGTAGAACTAATTATACGCCCGTGCGCATTGGCGTATCGGTAGGTACGCCACTGACTTAGTTTGTCTACTATATAGAACGAGAAATATACGCTCTTCATTTACCATAATTAAAAGTGACTTCGATCATCCGATCTTAAAATATTCTAAATTGTTTATCTAGTCCTGCCTGCTTCAACATTCTGAAATACATATTTCTTATATTGTCAGAGTATTATTCAAAACCCGGAGCTGGTTGTTGCCATAGATTTTGGAAGTACATATAGCGGATATGCTTGGCAATGGAGGACGGATTTTGTAAGGGATAGAGGAAACATCCAGTTCAATACTAACTGGGGAAGTGGGGCATTACAGGTATTTTCGTTTTTGTTGTAGCTTAATATGTCACAAGTATATTATAACTTGTCCAAAAATGTCAATTCACTCAGTGACATTTTAAAGCACATTTTATGTCAAATATCCAGGTTGGTTTCCAAATCCGGTATATAAATCGTATTGACCTGCATAGACAGAGTATCATAATGTTAATTATTTGTATTAATATTTTAGTAAAATTATGTCCATTTTCTGTCATGAAATTTAGATAAAGTATTTGTTGAAGCACTCATTTCACATATACGAATTCCTCTAATGTGTAAAAAATGTGTACGAATTCCTAATACACTCGTATGTGTTAAAAATACGGTGGGGGCTGTCCCGGGATCGGGGATGCCGGAATTCGGGATCGTTTTAGATATATATTGAACACTTTAATTGTGCTGATATTTGTCGTAATAACGGCAAATAAAACATTGAGTTGTATTTGACCGGTCTATTGATTTTAATTTAAAATTGAAATATATTAAGAGCTATATATAAACAAACTTGAAATGCAGAAATCAAAATACCCATCAAGGTGCTTCAAATTGTAATATTTTATATAGATTTGATTGAAATACTAAAAATAGATTTTATTCAGATTATTTTTTTGTGATAAGGTAATTGTAAAATATCGCGTCCTTTATGTTAATTTTCTAGAATTTTAGAACAGGTATAAGTAGTTTTTCACTCGGATACATTTATAACATAACACATTCTCTGCCTAGATCTAATCATTTACACCTATGGCATTGCGGGCGTTCGTTGCCCAAATTCTAGGCTAAGACGTAAAGTGTTCGTTTTGAAAATGCGACC